ACCAGTGCTCTACACTGGTGTAGTTAAAATGCCAAAGCTCGCTCTGGAGTAGAGCTCAAAATAAAATGTTACTTACTAGTTTTTGTCTTTTCTCTCCAGTGTCTGCAGTGAGGCTCTGAGTTACTTTCTCACTCTTACATCAGAAAGTCATCGGGAAGCCTGGACTAATCTGCTACTGCTATTTTTGACTAAAGTCCTGAAGATAAGTGATGAAAGGGTAAGTAACTTTGGAATTCAGGTAATAAGTAGCTCAAGACCGGTTCATCACACACAGTCACATACTTGTAAAGTTCCTGCTGCTCTGTAGGCAGTGTTGTGGGAATCTACATCTGCATTGCAACAGCACTTGATGGTTACCAGTAATTGCAATGCAGAATTGGGATGTGGTGAGTAGTATAATAAAGCGTGTCTGAGAAAATTGTAAAGATGCTAAAATCCTTTAAATGTGTGTCCCAAGTTGCTTTTACCCCTTATGCTGAGGAGAAGGATTAGTGGCTGATACTTTGTTCAAAGTACTTGGAAATTAATCCTGGTTTTGCTTCCAGTGTTACATGTTGACCCCTTGACCTTCTCCAGAGCAATTATGGATTAAATAATCATAGAATCATAGAATATCCTGAGTTGGAAGGGACCCTTAAGGATCATCAAGTCCAACTCTTGACACCGCACAGGTCTACCCAAGTTCAGACCATGTGACTAAGTGCACAGTCCAATCTCTTCTTAAACTCAGTCAGGCTCGGTGCAGTGACCACTTCCCTGGGGAGCCTGTTCCAGTGTGCAACCACTCTCTCTGTGAAGAACCCCTTCCTGATGTCCAGCCTAAACTTCCCCTGCCTCAGCTTAACTCCATTCCCGCGGGTCCTGTCGCTGGTGTTAATGGAGAAAAGGTCTCCTGCCTCTCGACACCCCCTTACGAGGAAGTTGTAGACTGCGATGAGGTCTCCCCTCAGCCTCCTCTTCTCCAGGCTGAACAGGCCCAGTGCCCTCAGCCGTTCCTCGTACGTCTTCCCCTCCAGGCCTTTCACCATCTTCGTAGCCCTCCTCTGGACACTCTCCAACAGTTTCATGTCCTTTTTATACTGTGGTGCCCAGAACTGCACACAGTACTCGAGGTGAGGCCGCACCAGCGCAGAGTAGAGCGCTGTAATAAGTCTGTATTTAGATCTCCCTCAATTTCTAACAGAACTTTTCTGAAATATTAAGTGAGGGGGGCAACTACAACAAAAAAACTTAACTGATAAGGAAAAAATTCCTCCTTTGCAGAACGAGGATTTGTAGGGAACTGTGTGTAACTAGTGCGATCTGTCAAAATGCTTCACAGCCGTCTTATTCTAGCACTGCCAGCTTCAGTTATAACCATGTTTCTGCTTGTCATTGTGGCTTTCTCACCTCGACTTGGGAGGGTATTTAAAATTCTTCACTTTGAACAGGGCTTCTGAGGTGTATTGATGCATCAGAATAACTTCTGTCTGTTTTCTCCTCAGTTCAAGGCTCATGCATCGTTCTACTATCCCCTGTTGTGTGAAATTATGCAGTTTGATCTTATTCCTGAACTTCGAGCTGTTCTGCGAAGGTTTTTTCTGCGGATTGGTGTGGTTTTTCAGATATCCCAACCCTCAGAACAAGAGTCTGCAATAAGCAAGCAGTAGCAGAGAGTGACTGGGTATTGCTCTGTTTAGAAGTTTGTACTCCTCAGCTAAATAAAAGGACCAGGTAGCTGAGCCGTTCTGTCTGGGTATCCATAACAATGGTTTCTTTGTCTGGCAGTGTGTATCCGAGGATTAATGGTACAGATGCTTACAACTGTAATTAAGGCTTGCAACACTCCAGTCCCTTTATTTCCTGATGGATTATCTCTATCGGTTTCTCTTACCTGGCTCATGCTGAGCGTAGAGCCGGTTTTTAGCACAGTCCTCTCGTCAGCACGGGCTGCAATATCCTTTACTGTCCTAGACAGCAGTATAGCAACAGATGTTTATGGAGGGTGTGAAAGGAAAATGTACCCAAAGAACTATATATGTAAAGGTTTGAGCTTCTGCAAGAAGTACAACTCAGGAGAGCTGTATTTTGAAGGATAAAATGTTTATAGTGAAAAGAAAATGGAGATTATTGTTCATGGTAAAAGATATTTAGCAACTATGTCTGATATTCTTATTCTAAGATTTTTGCACACTCAGGCTGTCTGAGACATTGGTAATCATCCTTCTGTGAAAAATGTACAGAGATGCAGGTCTGTAATATAAACTCTCTAACACTATACAGTTCTTCCTGAATTGTTTTATTTCTGTATTATTGATTTGCTGAAAACCCATAACACTTTATTGTTTACCAAATGCACTAGAAGTTTGGGTTTCTTTTTTGGGGTTGTGATTTTCTTTGTTTTTGTTTTTGTTTCATTGTAGCCCAGCAGTTAGTGTTGCTGACTTTTGTCAAGAACAGAGGTAGAAATATCACGACTGACATAACTACCTGTAATATACTTGTTTTAGGGCTTTTCAATATAATGAGCCATTGAAATGATGATCCTTCAAGGACTGGAACTTGAATCACTGCAAACAAGTCTAGGTTGTGTCTGCTGTCACATGTTTTTTGTTTGATGTAGATTTCACTCTTATGTACAGAATTTAATGTTGAATATATTCAAGTAACAAATCTGGCATGGTTTGGGGATGGTTAAATTTATTGGCAATGTATTCATACTGTGAATTGTGCTCTGATGGTTAAAAGACAAGATTGTCAAGCATTCTGTATTACAATGGATGTAGAAATTTTTTTCAGATGGACAAAATGTATATGGTACAGATATGTAAAGTTTTCTATGTAAAAAAAAATTCTGTACAACTTTCTGTACAATATTTGGTTCTCATCTGGCATATTCTAATCAGGTTATAGGTCAATAAAGTTTTTGAACTCTTTCATCAGTGCAATCAAAACCAGGCTAACCCACAGCACTTGTTTTATAGCTTCCTGTGCTTTTCATGCTTCCAAGGACCAAACCCCAGCCATTGGGGGTGTTTTGGTTTGTAAGTAAAAGTGGAATTGGGTTGTTTTTCAGCAAGTTCTTGTATGGAGACTGAGAAGGTAGGTGAGGGAGCCTGACCTCAGCATGGGATGAATCTGTCTCTCCCTGCTGAACTGAGAGAGGAGGGAAGGGAAATGTAGCACGTTTGAGCAGGCTCTGAAAGCAAGCATAAGCAGCTCAGTGGAATAGCTCTGGAGGAGCCAGTGAAGGGAATTAAAAGGTATGACCTGTGAGTAGTTCTTCCCTCATAATGTTAATTGGGGTGGAGCAAAAGCAAATTGAATTTCTTGGTCTTGGAGAACTGAGGTGAGTTTAATTAATTTTAATTGAACAGTCTGTCCTAGTGGGCTGTTTTTTTAATTATTTTCCAATTTGTTGTGTAATGTTTCAATTTCAAACCACCTTACTGGGCCGGACCTGAGGTCTTGCTCACCTGTTTGCGAGTGACCACTGGTAATTTTTAGAGCAAGTCCAAAATGTCCCATCCCTAATTCTGTCCTGTCCCTCATGCCTGTACCAAACTGTGTTCTTGGTACCATTACGAAGATGTTCTTAATACTGGTAGCCAGGGCACTGTTAACAGCCCTTTGTGTATCTTAGCCATGTTATCTGCCTAGTTCCTGTTTAAATCTGTGGTCAAGATTCAGCATGCAGTGCCCATGAGTACAATAGCTACTGGAGTTTGGTGTGGGTTTTATTCGTTTAACCCATACTGCTTTATTGTTCTCTTGTGCAGCTCCTGTTTTAGTAATGGTTTTTAAATAGATGGCCTTTTCATGCCCTAACTTATTTTATTGCTTGAATGGAAAATGCCTAATAGCTGTTTAGTCTTCTGTTTGCTGAAAGCAGAACCCCCTGTATTATTACTGTTCTGCCTACCTCTCTAGTTCTTGAAGTGCCAAAACTGTATGAGCTACTCTGCCTCTCAAGTTCAACCTGCAGCTCTCTACAAACTCATGGCCACAGTCATTATCAGCAAAGGGGGCTGGGTGTCAGGAATACTGTTTTATTCATGCTGAACTGGAGGGAAGGTCAGGGAGTTGTAGCTGCATTTATTTTGCAGAGTAGACTTCCCTACTTTTTTCTTTCTCAAATCCTGACAAGCAAGAGTAACTGAACTTTTGACACACAGAAAAAGGTGAAGGAAAGCTGGGGAGGATCCTTTCTGAAGGACCAAGAGGTTATACAGTGACTGATTCACACCAACTTGCAGTGCACCTGAAGAGTTAGCAGGTATCAAAACTCAGGGGAAGGCTGGCACGTGATGTATTTTGACCTATGAGACATGTAAGGTGGGCTTCAGCATGAGGGACTCTGATTATTGTAAAAAGTTTTCTTTTTGCTTAAACTTATTTTGGGATTCCTACCTTTGTGGGAAATTCAGAATCAGGCAGCCTTGATGTACACAATACATATGCTGGCCTGGGTCTTTGGTTATGCTAGTAAGATGTGTTTCTAGCCACTGCTGTCCTACCCAAACTGATGGCTGTGACAAGCATTTGGGCTGATGAGTAACAGTAACACTGATGCACTTCTTGCTGGGAAGGAACATGCTAAATGCACAAAGCAGCCTGGCAACACGACCTTAAGCAAGCCTCTCTCACAGCAAGCATCTGTTACCTGCCTTCATCACAGAACTGCCTTGGCCTTTCGGTATGTGGACAGAGGCTTGAAGAAACCGTTTTTAGTAAAAGTGTCATAATTTTTACAAAGCGCTTCTGTCTTTAGCTGGTCAATACTTTAGCCTGTGGCCAGGAATGTCTAACCATGAGAGAAGTCCCATCCTTACCTTTATTCTCAGTTTACAGAACTCTTAGAACTTTCCATCTACAGAGCCACCTTGCTTTGTATCCGTGCTTTTATTTAGCACCATTTCCATGTGGTTTTTCCTGCTGCTTTGAAGATTTGCCTCACCCTTCTAGTCTGTTCATTAGTAACAGCAAGCTGAAGCAAGTGACAAATGAAAATTAAAGTTGTCTTTCACAGTTTTTAATAACAAAATAATTTATTAACTCTTAAATCAGAAACATAAATTAAATATATGCAACACTATCTGCAGTTCCAGCACATAACAAGTTAGAAACATACGATACAATGCTAATAGACTTTTTTTTTTCCATAAAACTGTTTGCTGACCTTTTGAGCAGAGCAGGCACTCATCACTATGAAAGGAGCAAGTGCCCTCCTCACAAGTTATTTACTCTTTTGGTAAAAGCTTAACCTCTACCCCTGCTGCTGGGCTCCTCTTTCCAAACAGTTTTTGAGTTAGGCTATAAACAAAGCTAAAAAATAACTCTGATTTAATATCAAATTCACACACACACACACACACAGTTTTTTCTGGTAAATCATCTCTGAGGTTGAAACTAACTCGAATAAAAAGTGCAAAAACCACTGGACTATGACTCCAATTCCACTGTGATGTAACGCGTAAACATCCCTGCTCTGAGAGTCTCCATTACGCTGCAGCTTCTCTTTCTTCATTATTGCTATCATTTAAATTACACACAGAGAGCTCCCCACTATTTACATGAAGTAGAACTACCCCTACGAGAGACCATAAAAGTGCAGTAGTGATGGGCCGGGACAGTCCGTTCCCAATGGAAAGGCACAGCTGGTGTCGAGGCGGGTTTGGTTCAGCCATGCGCGGTTGAGAGGCCTTGCCAGCTGAGCAGCAGCGTGTTCTCGGGGGAAAGCTTTGCTGGGCTCGGCTGCTCGGCCATGAACCTTCGGAGCGTTTCTGAAGTGCCAGGGCGCAGCCAGGGCTCTGTTGCAATGGAGTCACCAGAAGCAGGCCGCTGGCCGTCCTTGGATGGAGAGCGCTTCAACAGGTCATCCGTGTCCCCTAAGGAAATGTTGTCACCTGGGGAAAGAGGGCAGCAAACGTATGCTGAAGGTGAAAAAGCTTCATGCAGCTTGTCACAACATCACTGCCACACTGAACAAGGTCATCTGGAATGGAATAAAGGCATAATGCCTTCAAGTGACATTTGTTTCTACTTAACATGCATTTCAGATGTTCCGGGGAATGGGCCCAGCAGTCGGTAAATCCTGCAGGCCTTCCATGGCTAACACCAACCGTTCCTCCCCACGTCAGATTGACATGGGGCAGGTACAGGCAACTGGAGTGCACCTGGCAGACTTCTTGCTTTCCTAAAGCCTCCTCTTGCAGAGAGGAGTCAAATCTGCTAGTGTATGTATGCATATATAAATATAAAGCCATTAAATTACAGTGTTACAGCCACTCCTGTAGAGACAGCCTCTTTAAGCCCAAGAAAGAGAAGTATTTTAACACTGGTAAACAGCATAAATGCAAATGAATGTACACATCACATTCCAGCACAGCTAATAATACTAAGGCACAGCCATTCTGAAAAGCATCCTAAGATAAAGTAATTATTTAAATTTTCCAGAAGCTGGAAGTATGAACAATTATAAAGACGAGATGATAGAGAACAAGGGCAGAGAAGCAAAAGGAGTTCACAAGGCAAAAATGTTTGGATGGACTAGAAGTAGTGAAGGGTTCGGGTAATACATTTGTTTAGAATACAGAAGCAATGAATATGAATGGTGGTTTGGGTTGTGTTTGTTATTTTTTATAAGAACTGAAAAATCACAGTAAAATGGCTATAATAAACAAAAAAAATGAGCTGGTTGTAAGAGTACCCATAGAAACAGAATCAGAAAAAAAAAAACCTGCCAGCATCTACACTCTCATTAAGTTTAGAAAAAGGACACTGATACTGTAATTACCTAGACAGCATAGCAACTGCCCTACTGAAAAAAAAAAAATCTCTCTTTTTTTCTGTCTCATATGAAAGAATTCATTAGCACAAATTGCATCAGCTAAATTAAAGGCTGGGCATCTTGTCAACATCAGTCAGAAGTTTGATTTCTTTCCAGTAGCATTTCAGCTACATAGTTGGATATCCACATCCTCCTGGTAGCAGGGACACAGTGCCACATGAGGTACAATATCCACAGGACAGGTAGAAGTCCTGTCAGTACCACAGTCCTGTCCAGGCTGATCAGACAGGAGTTGCTCTTCTAAATTTACTCTTAAATACTCTTGAAATTTTCTGGGCAACTGGGCAACCTCTTGCAACAGGTACAGCACTCTGTAACTAATTCCTGTTTGAGGCGGGTGCTCCCTGTTAACTACAGGCCATATATTAATGTTTGTTCCTCTAGCTAATGTAATTACTTAATATTAGCATTTCCTACATCAGCTTTAAGGCACAGAGCATACCTAGGTGAGCAGACTTCTGCTGGAGTTCAGTCAGTCTGCGCAATCGTTCCTCATTTTTGCCCTTCATCTGATCGACATCAAGGCTGAAGTTGGAGTGCAAAGAGAAGTTGTCAGGCTGCAGCAACGGGGTCTGGTCTCGTGGAACATCTTCCTGCAGAAAACACAAACATGCACAAATCCTTCAGTAAAGCTGCTTTTGGCTGGGATAGAGTTAATTTTCTTCATTGGGCATCACTTGTTTTGATTACTCTTTCCTTTTTCCTTTTTTCTTATTGAACTGTCCTAACATCGACCCATGAGTTCTCACACTTTTACCTTTTATGACTCTCCTCCATCCCACCCTGGGGAGTTAAGTGAATGGTTGTGTGGTGCTCAGCTACCCACCAGGTTATACCACAACAATAATGTACATGTATAAGCTAGTTGTCCTTTTAAAAAGCACCTGTATCATCCAGCCACTAAGGAATCACAGGAGCTGTCCCACCAAGTTAGATTTGTGCTCTACCTGCCTAGTTAAGTCCATCTGGCTATCATACTTACAGTGCACTCCAATGCTTTCTTCCTTATTCGTCTCCTCTCCCTTGCAGAAGGTGCAGGCTGTGATGATAAATTAACTTCTCCTAAGGCTGGAAATGTTTCTCCATTAGCACCTGCAAAAAGGTGAAATCATTTTCAAAGAGACCAAAATTCTACAGTGTTCAAACCCATTTATGCTTCAAAACAGGTCAGTGTATTGTGCTTGACCTAACCACAGGTATCAGAGGCACATATTTAACACGGACTTCTTGCATGGCACCGGTGCTACCCAGAGGAACAAAAAAGACCAAGGTAGCACAACAGCAGCAAGGGATGAGCTTCAAGCAAAGGCAAGGAATAGCTTCCACAGAGACCAGGCATTTCCCGTCCCACAAATCCAGTGCCTGACTTCACCATATCTTGTTTATACCGAGACCTTTCATGAAAGCAATGAGTGCTCAAGTGAGAACAAGGGAGAACACGAGGCAAATTGACAGCACAAAAGATATAATCAGATGGCAAGAATGTTTGGGTGGAATGAAATCAGCAACGCATTTCAGTAATGCACTTGCTTTACAAGTGTACTAAATTATGCATGTAAGTAAGTTGCATGGGATTTATGGTAATGTAATCAGTTCCTTAATCACATCTTAGTCATATCCTGGCTTTTTCATGGAATAAAGTGTTAGAATCTGTTCATACAAAAAAAGAAATCCTAATTTTTTGATCACATCTCACATGACAGCAGTGGTATGCGGGGTTAAATCCATGTTTATAATATAAATGAAGCCAAAGGTGATGTCTCTGCTTCACACTATTTTGCTGATTTCCCCTCCCTTTACTAATTCTGGAAACTAATTCAAATGCAAACTGTTTGAAACAGTGTTTTTTTCTCCTGCACCAGGAACTGCTGCTTGAGTGCTGGTTTGTGGCTCTGCTGCTGGCTGGGTGCAGTCAGCAGGCTCCATGCTTTACCTCAGTGCTTCTCATACCCCAGTAAAACACAGCCTCCACAAAGAAGGAAGGATCCTGCATGAACAGAACCTGTTGCCACCAATTACTTTGTGTAACAATGAAATGATGTTTTTTTGGGAAGGCTCTTAGTCTAGTATGACACAGAAAGTTAAAAACAAGATAAATATCTATGTACATACAGATAGATGTACACACACTAAAGAACAATTCTGCAGTGTTTGTCTTAAATTATTATTTTTTTAATGGACACTGTGACATTAAAAATAAACCACAACCATGGAAGTAACGTTTGTTTTCATTTGTTAGCAATTTCAAAATAAAATTGTGATGAAACATTAAATATTTCATTATTCACGAGTTTCGATAACCTTCAACTTAAATTTAGAAATTAACTTTTTATGGTTAAAACCTGCAATACTTATGTTTTGAAAAACAAATTTGATCTCTACTAATAACAAGGATGTTCATAGACACAAAAACAGGTAATTTAAAAAAAATGTTCATATCACTTTTTTTTTCTCCTAGAAATAAAGATTTTAGTCCCTTTTCCTCTTCTACCTCCCCCCCAGTTTCACCGGAGGCAGAGCACGCAGCATAATTTTGAAGGGTACATGGCTAACAATCCATTTATCAGACTTCGAGTCAGAAGGTAACATGACAGTGCTATTAGAGTACAACAGTTTGTTTAAGCACGTGAATTTATCACAACAGAAACAAAGTAGAAGCTACAGAAGTATTTATTTTTACCCCTAGTGCTTTGTCAGTGTAAGATGCTACTAGGTCCTTTAAGCATCTTTCCTTCTGCTGTGCAGCCATGCTTTCAAATCACTGCATTAACACTACCAAATTGTAGGGTTTCAAGCGACCAAAAAAAACAAAAAAGAAAAAAAAAACTGATAAACCTCTTTATTCCCAATTAAGATTTCTGACTGTAGGAAAGACAAATTCATTTGTGATGCTGTTACCTATTACCAAATTGAGTTATATTTTAATCTTGTGTAAAAAAAGTGTTATTGCTTTTTCTAGGAAATGAAAAGCATTATTAAAATGCACCTCAAGTAAAACTGCTTCCCAAAAGGCCCCCAGAAAACGTCAGCACAATTCACTGAGCCGGTAGCCTACTGATAACAACAGTTTTTTATCTTCATTTCAGGGACAGAAGTCACCAGATTCATATTCAAATTTTCAGTAGCTGTTTTTAAAAGCCAAATAGCACAAAGAGTAAAACGTTTCTGTCAGTGTCCACAGAACACGTTTTTTTTTAACACCAATAAACGATTTATGGAAAAAAAGAAAAAAGAAGTGTGAATAGTATCCTACATTAACTCCACCACCTCACTAAGTTGCAGAAATCAACTGGAGAGGGAGGAGGAGGAGAAGAATGAGGACTATAAAATCCATGAACCTTTGTGAAAGCGGCTAATAAAAGAACGGGGAGCACCACGTTGCACAGGTGAAGCAGATGAAAGGAGATGCTTCACACAAGACACAGTGACAGACGTGGAAATTCATCCACACCATGCTGCTGATGTTAAACGGCCACAGGAATTCAGAAATGCTGATACCAATTCATGGCAAGCAACCTGCTGAGGACCCAGCTTTTCGTTGACTTACTAAATGCAAACACATTTGATTCAGGAAGCCCCTCAGCTATGAAGCACTTGAGGCTCAAGAGTGCTCTGCAATGCCACTACACGCCTGCCCTCCTCATATTCTTCCCCAGGCACCTCTTCTGGCTACTATTAGACACAGGATATTTCGCCGGATTCCAGACCCTCATATCAAGGGAAACACCTTTTCAGCATTTGGGCAGCAGATAACAACTAGTATTGCCTAATCTGAAGAGTCTAATGCAGACTAAAGAGAGAACCAAATGCATTAGAAAAGTCTAAAAGCAATATCCTGAAAGCCCTTCCTAATGCCAGGTTTTGCTGTGTACTCCAGCACCTGCTAGAAATACTTTTCAAACGAAAAATCCTGCTCTTAAGCAAAAGCAGAGATTATAATCATCAGGATATGGAAATATATCTAGTTTCAGTAAAAAGCTTTTGCAGGAACCAACTGCATTTCCCCGACAGGAAAGAATAAAAAGCCTTGTAACATTATTTCCCATAGAAGACAGAAGAGAATTTCAAGGCTCTGTAATACCTATTAATGGAAAAATAGCACTTAGAGACCTCAGCTGATTGTGGTTTTTTTTTTGTTTTTGTTTTTTTCCCATTTCTGATTTTTAGTTAAAACAAAACCCAGAAAATCCCACTAAAAACAACCCACAAAAACAAAACAGATAAAGTTCCTCAACAAGACTAAGATCCCAATCGGAGCACTACAAAGGAAGATGCTTTCTCATGAAAAGATATGAAGTAGTGTAAGCCTACTTAGCAGCACCATTAATTTTAGGCGTGATCTACCCAAATTTATTGCAGTACAACCCCATAAAGATCTACATTTTTATGTGGAGTAGTAATTTTCTAACACTAAAAATCACAATTGCTGTACCCACTGCAACTTTTAAAGCAGCAATAACCATTGTAGAGAAACATCATTATATTTAACGGCGTGTTTGTACATGCATCATCCCACAGTTAAAGGGAGCTATAAACTCACCAATAAAAGCACTGTCAGATTCCAGCAGGGAATTCTTCAAAAACTCATCAGAGTCATTTCTGAACTACAAAAGGGAAACAGAAAACATGCCAAGTCAGATGTCGCTGTGTCTTTTGGAGGCCTAATGATAAATAATAGAAATTTAACATTTGCTGAAGCCCTGCAAAATAAATAGCAGCTATGCAGTGCTCTGTAGGCTATAAAGGCCTTACTTCATAGCTATAAAACAATGCATTTTTTAAATATAGTTCAGTTCTCTGTAAGCATTAGTTTTTTGACTTTCTGTAGCAACATCATGTGCTGAAACCATCTACACACGGCCACTGTTGTGGTGATTTGTGTAACCCACACGTCCACCAATAAATGCACCCTAGTCACTTTGCTTGAGTTTTAGAAAAGTCAATGCTAGGTGCAAGCCTAAAGACAGCTTCCTAGGTTTGTACAAACTTCTGATCAAATGAAGAAAGATTCCTTATGTTTCACTAATCCCACCACATACAATCTCTGGCATTAAAATAGCAAATATCTGTGTAGTAATAACAAGCACTTAAGAGCATGGCTTACAGCTCATTGCAGAGTCGCAACCATTTGTTACAGGAATTCTACTAGGAAAATTTATATTGAAAATCACTCCAAAATCAAAGTAATGGAAACTATCAGAGGAAATGGAACAAGAGAAAATTGTTATAGTAAATCATTGCTCCGAAGAAGAATTCCAGGTAGTAATTTACAACTTTAAAATGCATTAAGGTTTGGGTTTTATTTAAATAACGTTCCCCTTCTGTATATGGTTAGAGTATTATCCTTGAGGCGAATGGCTTGGCTATTGCACAGTCTTTTATCTTGCACGGTCCCACAATCCCATGAGACACCACTGAACTCTGCTGTTCTGTAGCTGGGTTAGTAAAAACAATTCCAAATTGACAGCACTTTATTGTGCTCTTCTCACTACATCAGAATATAAACATCTAATTTGAGACACTAAGTCTAATTATTTACTGCTGTGTGAATCACTTGAGTCATCCAAATTCACAGCAACCGCTACTGGCTTGGCTTTTGCTACTAATTCACGCCCCCAGATCACATGAATACAAAGTAAGTACTGATGAATATTTTAAAAAGTTTGAGTATTGAACTATCTCTGTATACAAAGATAAACAACTTGTACATCAAACGTAAAGAAGCTGTTATTCATTGTATTAACAAGCAAGAGAAATAAGTAGTCTTGCTGTCTTGTTACCTGCCTGTTATTCTTTCCTCCAAATTCTATATAAGCCACAGAATTTAACCATTATGTCTCACACTTGAAAAAAAACAAAGTAATATGATTTAAAAAAAAAAAAGAAAACCTGTCTTATTCTTACCAGTCCCATGGTTTGTAGGTTGCAGCCAGAAGCAGAATCATCTTCATCAACAACCACATGCACAAGGGACAAAATCATAATATTGGAAAAAAAAAACAAAACAGTTAATACCAAAACATAATATGCTGATAAAACTTGTAATATTACAAATATATATATATATATATATATATATATATGCATTACTACAGGTTTCTTAAGAATTCTGTATATTTTAATGAATCATTTCAAAACATTTGAATGCAATGTTCATGGCAGTTTCCTTATGTCAATTTAAGTAGTATCAGAAAAATCAAACAGAATTCAGTAGTATATTATTTCTGAGCGTGCTGGGCATGTGTGCACCCTTGTTAGGGCTGCACTTATCAGTCTCTCCCAATCAGCAAGCACACTTTTCACACCAGAACAATGTGGCTCGCAGCTAACAAAATCAGCCATTTCTCACATTGCTCAAAACCTGGTTTGTTGACTTTAAACACATTTTTCAGCAGAAGGAAGTATAACTATTTTTGTTACTACTGGAAATTAATTCCTTTAGAAGACAGAATTATGCTTCATTAAACCTTAAAATCCCACTAAATTGTACTGATTCCTGAAAAAAAGTTCTCTATAATGCAACAGTAAGAACTGGTTCAGTGCTGTGTTTACAACAATGCTGTAAACACTTGTTATAGATGGTTCATGTCCAAGTGTTGTCTAAATAATAAGAAAAATGTCTATTTGTGAGATGGCAGCATGGCCTAAACCATCAAATCAACACATTAAGGTGCAAAAGTCTGCTGCATGAACACTTGGGTTTCTGTTTTACCCTCTCGTGTTTCATTTACTGAGACCTTAAGATCCTCATTTATTATTTGAATTACTGCATCTTAAAAGATAACCAGCTGAACAGCTAGCAAGACTTTTTAAAATAAAATTAAATAAAATCATGTTCTGCACCCTGCTGAATCCCAATGCAACTAGAACATGGAACTGAGAAAGCACACCAGGTTAACCAAGTCCAGATAAGACAGAATTTAAACTTCCCAAGAACTCCACGTACACAAGAACTCCAAGTACTAGGTCTTCCAACTAGGTCCAATAAACATTATCCTCCCTTCCCTAGCATACGTATCATTTCACAGAGGAAAGTACTTGTCTAAGGACAAAAATCCCCAGTCTGGAGAGCACAGGTGACCATCTTGAATGTTAACCTAACAGGATCTCATGCAGACTGGAAATATAAAGGAGCAAGCCCAAGCAACAGGAGAAACTACAGTTTAAATATTTAATTTGAAGATTTTATAATGCCTTTCCTATTTCCTGCAACTTTGTCTAGCAAATCTACGCAGTGTGTACCTGACCCTGTCTAGCATCGCAAAATCACAGCACGCTGGCTCTCACTCCTCCTGGACTGACCAACAGCCCACTCCTGCTAAGGCACTCCTAAGTCAAGCAGAGCCCAGAGCTTCAGTACAACTATGTCAAACCTGTGCCTCCTCTCTCAGTCTCCTCAAAAAATAATCATCCAGAAGACCAAAAAAAGACTGACTTGTTTATAGAGAAATACCAAACATTTAAAAATATTTTGGGCATATAAAAATTACTAATTTTTCAGATTCCACCAACAGTCAAAATATTTCTCTTGTAATGTAAAGAGAAAAAAAAAAAAAAAAAGAAAAACATAACAGTAAGTATGTAAGGTAAAGGACATTTCCATATAGCGTAGGAAAACAGGCAGGCCTCTGCCACTACAGCCTACAATACTGGCATCTTACCCACAGTACAAAACCACATATTGCTTTAATTCATCTTCCTTTCTGCCTCAAATCAGACAATAAAACCGCTCATCTATTTTCAGTGAGGGGAAGATGAGGAACTTGTCTCTGAGGAAAATGAGCTGGAAATATAGAGATAACACGGTAACTAATTAATTACCTCGCTCAGTACACAGCGACAGGCCATAAAGCTAAATGATGTTGTAAAGCTAGTAAGAGAGATTGAGAGAGAGGAAAGGCTGCTCAAGGATCCTCCACAAGCATCAGTGGAAAGTCATGTTAAAAATCAGCTGCTTGGGTAACTAATCTAAATTGTTGCAGGAAATGCCTGTTTAGGTTGTAACCATTCAAGCTTGCATTACCCATTTAGCATCAGCTTTTGTCTAAAATGACTGCTCATCCTTAAAATTAATGAAAAAAGGCAAATTTGCTTTCTAGCTGGTGGAAGTTCCTCTCCAGACAACATTAGATTGAAGCCTTCTCAGACTGGCCTATTGAAAAATATTCAAATGGAGAAAAATAAATAAATAAAAATCAAGAACTGTAGCGGGTTTACGTGGCAAAGTTTTGGTAGCAGGGGGCCATAGGGGTGGTTTCTGTGAGAAAGATCTAGAAGCTGCCCCATGTTTGGGAAGGGCCCCATTGTTTTCCAGAGCTGAGCCAATAAGCGATGTTGTTTTGCACCTCTGTGAGAGCATATTTAAGACAGGGAAAAAACGCTGCACCACACAGCAGCTGGGAGAGTCAAGGGAGTGAGGAACAGCACCAGGGTCAGTGCAGAAGGAGGGGGAGAGGTGCTCCAGGCGCCGGAGCAGAAGTCCCCTGCGGCCTGTGGTGAGGACCATGGTGAAGCAGGATGTCCCCCTGCAGCCCATGGAGTACCACAGTGGAGCAGGGTTTCACGCTGCAGCCCGTGGAGGAGACCACGGTGGAGCAGGTGGCCCTGCACCGACAGAGGCTGCCGCCTGTGGAAGACCCCTGCCGGAGCAGATTCTGGGCCGGACCTGTAGCCCGTGGAGAGGAGACCACGCAGGAGCAGGTGACCTGGCAGGAGCTGCTGCCCATAGGGGAGCCAGGTTGGAGCAGTTTTCTCCTGAGGGATGGACCCCATGGTACGGACCCATATCTGGAGCAGTTCTGGAAGAGCTGCTGCCTGTGGGAAGCCCACGCCGGATCAGTTCATCAAGGACTGTATCCCGTGGGTGGGACCCCACAGCACAGGGGACGAGAGTGACCGAGAAGGAGCGGCAGAGAAGAAGTGCTGTAGACTGACCATAACCCCCATTCCCCCGTTCCCCTGCGCCGCTCGGGGGAAGGAGGTGGAAGAGGGTGGATGGGGGGGAAAGGTGCTTTTGGTTTCTTTCCTTTGTTTCTCACTTCTCTAGCTTGTTAGTAATGAGCAATAAATCTTACTATCTTCTTATGCTGAGTCTGTTTTGCCCGTTACAATAATTATTGCGTGATTTTCTTGTCCTTATCTCAACCCTTGAGCACTTTTCACATATTTTCTCCCCATTTCTCTTTGAGGAGGGGGAGTGAGAGAGCGGCTGTGGTGGAGCTCGGCTGCCCACTCGAGCGGAACCACAACAAGAACACAGTTCTCAGCCAAAGCTAGCCAATTCTTTTTCATCGTTTCAGTCAATCCAAGAAAGAGCAAGACTGAAGACAACCCTATACACAAAATTTAGATGCTACGTGATACCAGAGAGCTTGTAATCAGCTCAGATGATGATACAGATAGACTTACTTGAGACTGCAATGTTCTATTACACCTTTAGCAGTAGTTAGCACACATCACTTGAACACCAAAACCTCCGTCCAAGAAACAGGACAGCCCTGCAATGCTCACCAGGGATACCAAATAAAACACCCTTCAAGTAACTCTCACCTTCTTCTACATCTTGGTATCTGGTTTTGTTAACCTCTCTCACCTATGGGTTTATGAACTGGTAACTCCACCATCAAGCCTCAAAGCATGACTGATAGTAAGAGGCATTCAACTTTTCTGAGTATTTTCCATATTTACAATTCACAATTTTCCGTATTCCATAAAGGTCTTTAATGTTTATCATTTACTTCCTGCTGCCCCACCTTAGTAATTAATTATTTATTTGAATTAATAATAAATTATTGAATTAATTGAATTAATAATAAATTATGTTAATTTCCCCGAAGACAGATCTGCTTTGCCTGTAACAACAACCGGTTGGCCATCTCCCTGTCCTCAGGCAATGATCAAGCTTTCTCCTTTCTGTTTTCCCTACTTTTCCCCTCACCCCATCCTGGCAAGGGGTGAGGCAGAAAGCTGGCAGGAAAGGAGCTGGGTGGGAGTTAGCTGCTAGACAAGGCTAACTTGCCACAGACATGAACTTACCTCATTTTCAGAAATTTAGTAGGGCCGGTGTGAAATACCCAAACCTTTTCTGAGAAATTGTATCTTATACTCAGTTTTGAGTGTCATTCGTATAACTGCAACTACAACTTTTGGAAAGGCTGAAGCAACTCTCATGCTATTTTTAAAGAATATCTAAAATAACTTGGGATACTACTCTTTTCACAACTGTAAAAGATATCTGAATGAACACGGCATTTGAAGTTAAACAAAGCATGCAAGAGCAGGGCATTACATTTATTCTTCACTACTGTTCATTATATGCAACAAAAAAAGTTTTACTATGTTAGGCTGTTAAAATTTTATTATAATAGGATGATTTCTGTCAAGCAAGACAAGGAACATTTAATTCCAGAACCTCAAGCCGGTAATGACATCTTATGCGTGGTTTCTAAAGCAAAACCTGTTTAAGGATACAGATTTCTGAAACTATGAAGCAGTGAAATCATGACTGAAAATAAGAGAAATCTAATATGTTACAAAAAGCAGGAAAAAGAGACACATTGGCTGCAATTTAACCAATTCAGTTTCAAAGCCATCTACTTCTTCAGTGAGAACTGAAGAAATGCCATAAGGAACTTATCAACTTACCTGATAACGCTTCTATCACAAATCATAGATTTTTTTGCTCTACATTTTTCCTTATGAAATAGTTACCAGCCTACTTTTCTCTTGCATTTTTCTGAAGTTAACACAAAAAGGTAGTTAAATTACTTTCAGGGAAGCAAGGAGAAGTAGGCAGTCCACACTAATTAAAAAAAGCCATTCAATACTTCTACGCTCTACCTTATGACAGAATTTCAGCATTCTGGTGCTTTCCTCTTTTGTATTGCAGTGCCTGACAGTGAACATCAAGGAAATAAAAGTAGAGCTGGCATTTTTTAAACACCAAATACAAAAACAATAAACAAAATCATTGAAATTATCTTGGTCCATTCATTCCTTACCTCCTGTTTCTCTCCTCATTCTCATTCTGTCAAGTTTCTTCTGCTGCTCCCTCAACAGTGCCTGCTGTTGAATCTCTAGCGTCTGATCATCTTTTGGAGGGTCAGGGTACATGTGTCTCAAGCCTATGCGCGTTTCAGAATCTAGAACCAAAACAGGAAATTTAAATTTTGATTTAAACTAATACCTCTGAAAAACATCTTTGAAGAAGCATATACAGATACAAAGCCATAAGAAACATTTTTTTTAAATGGTGACAATGACCAAGATGATGAGCCACCCTAGCAACAGTTTTGTAACTTTACTACAATACCAAAAATATTTTTTTTTCTGTTGGAGTAGAAATAAAGTTACATAGAATCATATTTTGTTGGGGAGTAAAAATCAAATTCATTCTACTTTCAGTAACATCACAGTACCAAATGCATAATAAATCCATGAAGCAAGGACTGGAAGCTAAGTGCATGTCCTAACTGATAATTCTATATTACAATGCCAAATCTCTTTTGGACCTCATGTACATGACAGGAAAATAGTCCAACTCCAGAAGCAGAACTAATGAAGGGTGGGTGTGCTCTTTCCCAGAGTGTTATAAAGCACTACATATCACTCTTTATGATAGTTGTAAGAGGATGCAGGTCAACATACCTTCACTTGAAAGGGCTTGAGCTCTTGTTTGACTTCAGGATGTGATATCTAGTTACAAGGCCCTTACAGAAAAAGAGTAATACTTTCTTCCCCCAAAATCTAGAATGCATTAGAAATTTAGAGTGTGTCTAAAAATCTAACTATAAATTTTACGTGACTTGATTGAATCATATAATAAAAATTTAACAAAACTTCCAAGGTATTCTATAAATCCAAACTTAATAGAAGTTTACAATTATTTTATAAAAGAAAAAACCATTTCTCAACCAAAATTACACGCATTCTTTAGAAGACCATATACAGTGTGCCAACAAATGCTAATAAAAAAAATCTGAAAGGTTTCCCCATCAACTAAATGTCAGGTGGATGTGCAGTGACTGGCCATAGCCACCATCTCATGGTGCAGTATCTATATATCAACAGTTAAACTGCAGACACTTGAAGAAATGGCCACACAAAGAGACACACACATACAAAACAGCTGTCCACAGAGTGTCGTGTATGGGCAGAAGCCGTGAAGTGGCTGGTTTTTGCTTTGGGCTTTTGTCTTTATACACTGGGTAGCATGGAAGATAATAACGGATGTTTCACAACCTTCCTTCCTCAACAAGAAGATCTACCTACCTTTGTATTTTAGCTCATTAAAATCCCAGATGTTTTGTATATTGACAGGATCTTGTGCATCCCTTGATGAAGGTCGCCTTACTGGAGCCTGCAGACGAAGCCTGGCCATTTCAAATATGTCTTTTGGATTCTTCTCTCTCTTCCCACTTGAAAAATGTGTAAAACAAAATATCGTTTAAAACCGTAATATTCACAAATTCCATGAAAACATAATTTAATACTACTTATATAGTTTATTTATTAGTATAATTCCTTAAATAAAGCTACTTGCAACAAGAAAATAATTTTGAAAATAACGACACTATATATTACATTATAAGAAGGAATAATCTACTTGAAACAAATGAAAAAAGTCCTCTTATTTTATGGAACGGAATTAATACTGCTGATCTGATGAGTCTTTTCCAACTAATTGATATGATTACCTAATACATTTTGGAAGCAAACCAAAAAGTTTTAAATCAAAGAGGCAGGATTTTCTAGAAGGAAATAAGTACTTCCACAGCAGTATGCTATTCATCAGATAATGCAGTCTCCAGATACAAGTCATAGGAATACGACTCCAGATACAAGCTATAGGAAGAAAGGTAATGCAATAAAATTCTACGTTTGACATCTGTTTTTGGAACATTCTCTAAGACTACTATAACTTCCAGTGTTACCAGTACAGCCATTCTTACACTAAAATTTAGAAAGATTCTTGGAAAATACAACCAACCCCATACGTTAGAAAAATGAAGAGAATTTTCTATACAAGTTCACGTATGCCCTTATGTTTTCATTTCACTCGTGTATATTAGCCAACTAATACCAGCTACCAAGATAGAGTAGCTTTGAGTTACTGTGCAAAAGCTAACTTTTAAAAATTAAGATGAAATTCTTACCGCGTAATTGGTATATCATCATCACTAGCCACATTTAGCAACTGTTCCTGCAGCCGCCTCTCTTCGCTACGGAGCTGTTTCCTCATCTCTGATAACTCATTTATCACATTCTTTCTTTCCTCTGGAATTTAACACCAATAATGTAAAAAGTGCTGGAGACACTTTTCTGCCTACCTCAGAAGTGTGAGGTGAAAAAAAATCTGGTAAATTGTTAATTAAAACAAGGATTATATAAACACAAGCATTTTGTAAACTAGAAATTAGGGCAGAGCTTGAATTTTAAGACAGCAGAAGGACCAGATCACCACAACAGCAGAAAGCATCCCAACTTCAATAGACACTTTTTACTGTATTTCAAACAAGAAAAGCTATGAGGCAAGTGGTTTTGCCAGTAAATAGCCTTATTTTGCTATTAGCAAACGTACAGTCCTTAGAGACAGAAGACAGGAGCTGAGGTGGTATCAGCACATAAAACCCATTTCTGTTTCCTGACTCCCACTTTAAGGAGATAGTTTAAGGGAGAGAGATTGATCTGCCTAGTGCTATCTCTTAACTGTTAAAAAGTTCTGACTTCAACACCTACTTTTAGTGTGTGTTCATGCTGACTTTTTAAGCCTACTTTGTGTCTAAGCTGTCTGTTTGCAGTCAGGACAGCATTCCTTCAAAAGTTAAAAGTTCTACAAATTCCTTGTTTTCTAAATAACACTAAATAATCTTTGTAACCGTCTTTTAGCACACACCCAGAACCTAGCAGGAAAGCAAGTTTTATTAGCTTAAATCCTCCAACACATGTTAATTCGTATTTCTTAATTTCTTTCATGACAGATGGTCTATCATTCGATTTCCACGAGTTGTATTGAGAACCCCTTTTCCTACTGTACAGTGGAAGAGCCATATCCTCCCCACAATGGACCCAGGTGCTGACTGCATCTGTAGGACAACACTCATATTCCATGTGGTTTTTAGCTTTTACAAGTCTAAAGTATCAAAAGAAAAAATACTGCTTTTCACCCACTATTTGCCAATATAACTAACATATCAGGAGAGAGCAAAGAGGATCCTCCCTGCATGTCTAAATTTTAAAACTACCGGTGAAAGCAAAGAGGAATTAGGCAGATAAATGAAGGAAAGGAGAATTTAAAAATCAGGAAGGAAATACTCTACAGACTGTCAGTCTAATCCACTACTCAGCCAATACAAAACTCTCCCATTTTGCAATGTTCTGTCACAGAACCAGTCACCACAGCCCTCACTGAAAGATTCCAGTACTTACCACGATCACTACTCCATTATCAAAGAGTGTTTGTTTTGTTTTTAAACAGAAAAAATATTTCCTGATGAAGTCATATAATAAATACATAGTTATATATAAAAACTTCCTAAGAATTCCTTTGAGGGAAAGAAATGAGAATTGTAACTGAGACCAATTCAATTGTAATAGAAAGTGAACTTGCAATAAAGGCAATACCTACCAAGTGCACGCAACTGGTTTCTTCTAGCAGGGACAGGTGGAGAAGGAACCCTTGGAGGTGGAGGATCCTAGTGATCATAATGAATATGAAATGTTAATGTGTCCAAGTAAACAACTATAACAGACATAAAATAAGGAAACAAAATGTCCAATTCATATTAACTATCACTGTTACTAGAAGAAAGAATAGTAACCTTACAGGTTGTTAATATGTAGGGTTATTTTGTGTTTGTTTTTGTTTTTTAAATCTGAACTTTAAAAGTATAAATCAAGTCATTATGATAATACTAACAAGACACTACTCAGAGATCTGGACACAGCTATACTAAGTGCTGCAAGGACATACAAATAAACGAACTTTCTTCCAGAACTTTCGTAACATATTGGGAAAACAACAGTTTTAAATAATAAGACTTAAAACATTTTCTGAAATTGCACTGTGTCATGTCTTAACATAATCATTTTAAAAACGTTTAGCCCAGTGCATGCATACATTTACTCAAACCCAGTTTTCAATCAGAAGTCAGAAGTGTAGCCTGACATTCAAATATCACAATTATTTATTCTACTCTACTCCTCACAGGAAAAAGTTTAAAAAAAAAAAAATGTCACAGGAAAGATTAAATAAAGTGAAAGAAAATATGGACTTGGGACCACTATTGTAACTCATTTATGATGCAAAAAAAAGAAAGGCAAATTGTATTAGGATTTATAATCTTTTTGTATCTTCAGAAATAGAAGATAACTGAGCTCAGGCATGAAGTTTAATCTTGATTTCTAGCTGTGCACATTATTTTCTGAGTCCCTGCTCCACTCTGGGCTGAACAACCCAAGGTACCTCAGTAACTGCCCTCCTATGCCCTTCACCATCTTTGCTGCCCTCCTTTTGCGGCTCTATTATAGTTTTATGTCCTCCTTATATTGTAGCACCCAAAAGTGCACACAGTAATTGAGGTGAGGCCACACCAGCACAGAGCAAGGCGATCAATTCCATTGGCTGGATAGCAAGGATTGTTAGACCCTTGGTAAGCTGAACAGAGCATCTCCTCAAAAAATGAGGTGCTCATCTCTACAGAAAATGTGCACGCATGCAAAATAAATAAATAAATAAATAAATAATAAACATCCCAAAAAAAATCTTACATTTTGAATAAAATTGAACATTACACTTCACAGGTATAAGACTGGCTAATAGTAAAAACTGTCTCTAGTCATTCCAGTGAACAAGCTGGCAAACAGGTAAAACCTGGTAGGATTTCACACACTTCACTGTCTTACATAAATAAGTATATGTTGACTAGAAAAATCGTACTTGTGTATAGTAAGATACGTGGCTTTCAGCAGATGGAATCCTCTCTTCTTTTCTTACTGATTTGTTCTGAAGAGCAGGAATGATAGGGAGATGGCTGCCTTGAGAACTGCAAGTAGAAAAGTAAGATAAAATACATTCCTATAGATTCTAAAAAACTATTACGGACAGGAAGGGTTTTGTTAATATATTTCATTTGACAGGAAAATGATTTATTTATGTGTTGAAATAATTTTGTATTTAATTTGCTTTTAATTTTTAACCTCAGAAAATGATTGCAAAAATTATTTTGTGTGATTTCATTTATTCCCTAGAAAAAAAATACCATTTTTTTGTGATGCATTTTTTTCATTCATCTATAATTAAGTTATACTTCTTTGTCTCCTGTAGCTACTTCCAATGTATTTGTCCATTTAAGAGAAATGTTATGTAGAAGTATAAAAGAGAAACAGTTCTGTACTTTACACAGATTTTGTCTGTCAAACTTCTCTGATGGACTTGTACGTCATTCAGGTCAAGGGAAAATAATTAAATTACAAAGAGCATCATTGTTGATAATGAGCAGCCCCATCTAGTCCTCTAAATTATGTAACTTTTTGTGTTTGGGCCTCAACAAAAACAGGCCACAGAACTTCACAGCAGATTTAAAAATCAAATATGTAGTGCAGCTTACTCATATGTATATGGTTTTACTGTATTTTTAATGTAAACTTGATCAGCAAGACAACATTCCACTGTAGTATGTCTGGTTTTTCAATCAGCTGTTCTCCATGTGTGCTAAGTATACTGTAGCTGGAGAGACTAACAGGGGAGCGATTCTGGCAGAGGTCTAAGAAATCATTCTCTCTCATTAAAACAGTCATTTTTAAAAGTTAGGAAAAAATATTTGTATCTTAGAAAGTAACTGAAGCATACCATCTTTTTTTCCTCTTCCATCTTTGCTAATTTTTCCTTCTCAAGATATAGTCTAAGTTGTTCATCTTGCTTTTCTTCTTTTTCTTTTCTTCTTTTTTCTGCCTCTTTTTGTCTCTCTTCATCTAATCGAATTATTTCTTTATTTTTCAATCTTCGCTGTAATAGAAACATTATTAGTACATTAGAAAGACTCAACATTTTTAAAGTTTTGCTTTGTTTGTCTTTAAGAAGTTAAAGCTACACATCAAAGTGGTTAGCATGAAATGAAAAGCGTATTTCATTAAGCTGACTTCAAACATTCAAATTAAAAACCATGTTATGCAAATATTAAACATCTGCAGTCGCGGCCCAGTGAACATATAACAGAATTTCTAATAAGTTCAATAAACACCAGTTTGTGTCCCCAGCTGAAGCTAAATCATAGGAGTCGTTTCCAAAACATGTGTTATAAAATAGTAGTGCCCACAGAGAAAAGTTATCATCCAGTCACAGTTTTAGTCTTGTGTCTGTGAAAATGATACCAGTCAGTTTCCTACACTATGCTAGTCCTGCTCTACTTATCCAGAAAACTCATCCAACTAAATTGCACATACTAGAGAAGAGAATCTAGAATTTCTGTCTTAGAAATTCTGAAATCCTATATGCTGAACTAATCTTTCAAAACTATGCATGGTAATCAAAGATTTTTTCCAACTCTGATGACATCATCCTTGTCTTATAGTTATTTATGCAATTCTGAATTATGCAAATTATTTCCTTTTTTCAAACCTGATAAATAAAGCTTCAGTTAGAATTAAATCACAAGTTTACCTCCATGAAAAGCACTCATTAGACTTCCTTGGCATTCTTCCAAAACAAGTGGTATTGTTATCTCAAAGATACATCCTGGTCAATTCAAAAAAAATAATTCTTTCTGAAATAAGCTACATTAAGAATGCAAATAATTGCTTGAGAGCTAGATGTAAGGGACTAATGAAAGAAGCGTTTGTTTTTAATTCATTGATTTGATAATGCTTTTTATGGGCCTCATTAACAATCTCCTTTGAATAGGAGATCACCACCGTCAATTACAAAACTGCAATTTTCCTTAAAAGACTTAACAGTATTTCAAGTTGGTAGCATACCATAAAGAGTGAAGAATATGCTAGTTAATACTGACAATTTTCTACCTCTCCTCTGGCTAACAGACCATTTTAAAAAACAAAGACATCACAGTACAAAAGGTTACTTTACTTTCACAGTACAAAGGGTTACTTTAGGGTGAAAAAAAAGTCAAGGGATCAAAATATTACACCTCCTCCTCTTTCCTTCTTTTCTCTTCTTGTTCATCTTCATATGCTTTTTGAATTCTCATTCTCTGTTCAGCCAGTCGTTTTTCTTCTTTTTCTTCTTCTATTCTAAGTTTTTCTCGCTCTGCTTCTTCTCTACGCCTCTTCTCTTCAATCTAGAAAATAAAGAAGTATTCAGCTGTCAATAGACAGCAAAAATCTCACAAACAATGTTTACCACCATGATTTTCTACAGAATTTGGAACCCCTACTTGTGCAATCAAAGACTGTAAGGATCAACTGAAAGAGTTCTAAGGCCAGTCTTAGAACTCAGCTTCAAAATTCATTTTAAATGAGACAATATTCTATCATGTCTTTTTTGATCATTTTCTTTCTTATATACTGTAACCACCATAGAATCATTAAGGTTGGAAAAGACCTCCAAGATCACCTGGTCCAACCATCTCCCTATTAACAATGTCAACCATGCCCCTAAGCACCAGGTCCATCCCTTCCTTGCACACCCTCAGGGACAGTGATTTTAAGTGAAAGTAAAACCTGAACATTACTTAACACTTACTCTCCTCTGGATCTGCCAGAATAACACGTTTTTAATTGAATAAATAATGGAAGACAGGAAACCCAAACAAACAAGCAAAAAAAGACACAGTAATAATCTTTTTCATTTCCACACTTATATTTATAGACACAGTACTGACTTACTGAAGAAAAAGGTCTGCCTATTCTTTATTCTTTTTGGCAGCACTGTACATGGAAAAGGACTCAATCTTTTCTTTATAAGGAGATTCATACCAAACTACTGTATGACATTTCTACTCTTAAATTATCTAGGATTTCCTTGATATTAACATTTAATTAAATTAATATTTAATTTTCATACCATGGAAGTATTTGCAATGTTTTTATGGACAGAAGACAGGAACTGGTAGAACAACAATCTCACTTCATTATTGTCTCAGTAATCACTATTACACTCTGACAAACATGCATTTGTAGCACGCTGACATCTAAGGGCAAATGTTTTTCTTTCTTTATATATTTATGGATGTAAACTTCCACTATATGCAAAGTTTGAGAGCTCCAAACTATTTAGAGAGTCATATTTAGGAAAAATGATTATCTAAGTTAGTGAAGCCAACTATTAAGAGCATCACTATTACAGGCATTTGTTACATGTAAGGCAAAACCAAAGAGACTCAATAGCAAACAGCTCTCAGCACACATCTGTACAGAATTGGCTATGCCTGGAAGTCTTTGGTTAGCAGAATCTGATGACTTACTTTGCCTTTAACTCCTCTTTTATTATTATTATTATTATTATTTAAGATGACAACTGGTGTACATATTCACCTGCAGACGAAGGAAGTTCTTGTATGACTCTTGTCGCTTAAGTTGTTGTGGAGATAGGGGTTCGCTGAACACATTACCCCGAGCAAAAGGAGAGGTCTGTGCAAATGTAAAACCTAAGGGGGGCAGAAAAAAAAAAAGTTTCCATATAAAAATCAAAGCAAATTTAAGACAGCAAGGCAGAGTTGAAGAAGCAGGAATCTGAAACACTTCTTTCACAAGGTAGTTTATGACAGCCATAATTCAAGGCTTTAGCTGAAAACAATAGCTGTGATTAAAAGTTTTCACATTGTCTGCCTAGAACATTTTAACTGCTCCATTAACAATGTCTAAGCCAATGTCTTTTTACAAAACAACATCTACAAATTATAGGATATCATAAAGCAAGTCATTAAACTGCCGATTGCACAGCAGAATATGTATCTAAAAAAATGCCACATTTAAATTAATTAGAATAGCAAAGATTTTACATTTCATAACTTCATTGCTTGCCTTTACTTTGACTTAACACACATAGTACTGCTCCTTAGGTTTATTCAATCTTTAGACACAGAATATTAGGTAAAATAGCAATGGATGCTGTAAAAAAAAAAAAAAAAAAAAAAAAAAAAAAACAGGGCCAAAATCTGGCAGATAGACTTCTGAGCACTCAGAATATTGAACTTTGCCATTATAAGGCACCTTCTATGCTCTGAAGTTTGAAGTGTCAGGTCTCTTCCATCTCTGTAACTTCCTACACTGTATTGGAAACATCACTGGGGACCAGTTGCCAAGTTACTCTCCCTGAGGTAAGAATGTGTCATAACCTTACAGTCCCAAAAGCACTACAAAAGGTGATTAACTCGGATAACAATCAGAACAGCCTCTGCAGGACAGGATCTCTACAGGAAGTAGAGGAGAAAGAAGTAAAAGAAGTTGTGTTAACGTTTCACCTGACACAGTATGTTCCTCATTCTTACCAAGTCTACTCCAAGGGATAGTGCCTCAGGGGTGTGCAAACAACATAGCTCCACTGAGCTGAGATGAACACAGCTGCTAGCTGTTCTCATGCTCCACCCTTAACTTTCCCTACACGATGCCTTACCACCTAAGTCAGATGAAAGCAGAAATAATATATCCACTTACTCCCATACAAATGCACAGACTTACTGCAACAGCCTAGCCTTAAGAGCATGAGCTTACAGAACCAAGTAGTACACTGTTCCAATTATCGTGTAATTCTTTACAAAGAAGTGAAACAATTTGGACAGCAGAAAGAAAAGCAGCATATAGGTTATTTCAAGAGGATCGTGACAGATCCTGACCCTCATCCATCCCAGAATGGGGTCAGGCCTGGTACCCAAGAGCTCTCACTTACATATCTCACAAAACATAAGAAGAGATAAAAAGATGCATTCATTTTTTAGTAGGAAAATAAAATAAAATTCCTAAAACTTGGAGGCAGTGCACAGGGCTGCACACGTACCTAATTTACCTGTAACCTTTTGGAACTTGTTAACCACCATAGCGTATCTGTTTCACCTTAACCTACAACCTCATCCACCTGCAGACCTTACTCCATCCTCTTATTCTGTCTTTTCCTCCTACTGTACAGTTTTATTTCACTGTATCATTTGAAAGTAAAATAAATATGTATCAAGATTTGATTAGATAAAATTGAACCCAGAAAACTAATGTACTAATCCTAACTGTCAAGTACTAAAATGTTATTGTTATTGATGATACAGATAAGAAAGTACATTTTCAGTGCACACAAATGATAGCAACAGAGAAGTTTGCAAAAGAATCATGATAGTTGACTTCAGTGGTGGAAGTCACTAAGTCTACTATAGGACTACAAGGGAAGAGTAAAGAAACTAGAGGAGTTTGATCACTAAGACCTATAAGTAATTAGAGCTGTAATAGCGTTCTTAAAAACCTGCTATTTTATTTGTAGATGCTTCTGCGTTCTCAGGTCTTGGGGAGGCCAAACTTAGGTCAACAGATACAATAGCCCTTTTATCTTCGTATAGTCTCGCCTCTGGATTATGATACGCATCTTCATTTTGCTTGTGCATCATATTCAAGTCAGCTAAAGGAAAGGGGAAATAACTGTTTATAGCATTTTGTTCTCATAAAGGCATGTTCACCACAGATTCCCCAAAATACAGGTCTGCTTCAGCAGCTCCACCATTTGTGGTCACAGCAACTACAGGAACAAATAATTTAAGCAAAGGCAAGAATATATATGCTATAGGTTAAATATCAGTTGTCAGGGAATAACTGATTGAAGTATTTATTTTGTTGGCTTTCTTTTACCAGGAATGATTCTTCACAGCAAACCTCCACCCCAATAAAAGCTATGAAATGGGAAGACAAAGAGCTCCAAGACAAAAAAGTCTGACAAGTCTGTGTTGACAAGTATGTATTTAGGAAACCACCCACTTCTATTTCCTGAGAGCTGTACAATACTTTTCAGGTTAGTATTGACATTTAAGTACTGACTCTCTACTGCATTTGATATCTGTTACAGGCAATAACCACAGTAAACCATAAAGGTGTATTTTGGTCTTCACTGTATTCCATAGAAGTCCAGGTGTAGATGTCTCTACATATGCAAAACAATGTCATCCAATAGTTTTTTAAAACACTTTTCCATCAAAATTTACATCAAAATTCTACCATAAAAATCCTGATCAAAGATGTTAATTTCACCTCGAAATATTCATTATGCTACACTCAAAAGGCCAGTTTTCAAAAAATGAAACAAACAGAAAAAGACCAATATGCAGTTTTCAAATTATCTTTTTAAACAGTGTTTATGATAAACATGAATTACTGTAGTCATTTAAACACAGATTCCAAAACCTTAAACTACATCTCTCTCTGTAAAGCAGCTTTTGCATCAGATGTCTCAAAGGCCCTTTTGGGGAAGATAAAAGACAAGTCACACTGCATGAAATAGAGACCTGGGAGAAACAGCACATTGTGTTTGATGACATTTGACTTATAGCTTATCCATCAAGTTGCTAAAGTAGGGTGGGAAAAATAGCTTCATGTATGTAATTCAGGAAAACAGGTTAAGAAACTTCTTCCTCTTGGTTCTTCATTTACAAACAGAGATCAGTTTCTCAAGAGGCATATACACACTTCAGGCTAATGTAAGTCACCCATCTTTTCCTCTGCCCCACTCTACTCACACTATCATAACACACAGAGAAAGACAGACAGACACTCAAATGTGTTGCTTATAGATTGACAGTGTCATCACTTCTATCTGCTCTGGGGATAAACATAAGCTTCTAAACTTACTATTTGGGCACAATTTTTTTATTATTCTTATTTTTTAAACACAAAGCCTTTGAATTTTACCCTTAGACTTTTAAACTACTCTGTGAGTTTAACCACATATATAAACTTGTTATCCAGTAAGCGTTCCATGCATTGAAAATTCTTATAAATTATTATCAGAGAACATTTTAAAAATCTAGAACACTAGAAACACTAGAAATCAACAGTTATAAAGCTTGAAGTCTCACTGACTTTAAAAGTTGCTGCATTTATTTGTTTTAGACTACCATTGCTTCTACTAACCTATTCAGCTTTCCACAGAAGGAAACCAACTGATACTATACCCCTGAACAGGCACGAGAAATGCTCGTCTCAGAGACCCCGTTTAACTTCCTCTGGGTAATTCATTACGAATTCTCTTATTTTGCAGATTAATTGGAAACATTTACATTTCTGGAGGTGGAGAAGAGGTGGAGCAAAAAGTTTCAAGTCCATTTGGCTTATGGTTTCAGTGTATTCTAACCACTGTTACCTCTTGAATAAACCACTGAATCATGAAGGAGGTTGAATCCATAACACTCATATCAGGTTTTATCTGATGAAGAATTAACATGGCATTAAAATTCTCCCACAGGAAGCCTACATTCAGTCCCATATATCATGGTAAGTCTCAGACAAATCCATCTCAAACAAATCTGTTAAAGAGGCAGTAGAGCCGTATTCACGACAAGACGATGAAGGCAAGAAAAGAGCTATCACAGGCCAACAAGAGATAAATACTTGGCTAGTGAGATGCAGGATAGGTCCTCAAGCCACATGATCAAATGTGAACATGCAAATACCTTCACTCAGCTGAAAAGAAGCAGCCACCATTAAGAGGATTTCCAAAGCTGTTCTGTAGACTGTGTGGGAGCGAAGTGTTCAACAAAACAGAATCTGTGGCACTTAAGGGAATTTAATGTTAATAGTTTTATTTTGAGAGATATAAATCTAATTGTGCCTACAGAGTACTATTTTTATTTATACAAAAAATACTGCCATGGGGTCCACTACAGCACCTAAACTGTACATCTTCAAATCACAGAATCACAGAATCACAGAATTTCTAGGTTGGAAGAGACCTCAAGATCATCGAGTCCAACCTCTAACCTAACACTAACAGTCCCCACTAAACCATATCCCTAAGCTCTACATCTAAACATCTTTTGAAGACTTCCAGGGATGGTGACTCCACCACCTCCCTGGGCAGCCTGCTCCAATGCCTCACAACCCTTTCAGTAAAGAAGCTCTTCCTAACATCTAACCTAAAACTCCCCTGGCGCAACTTTAGCCCGTTCCCCCTCATCCTGTCACCAGGCACGTGGGAGAACAGGCCAACCCCCACCTCTCTACAGCCTCCTTTAAGGTATCTGTAGAGAGCGATAAGGTCGCCCCTGAGCCTCCTCTTCTCCAGGCTGAACAAGTCCAGCTCCCTCAGCCGCTCCTCGTAGGACTTGTTCTCCAGGCCCCTCACCAGCTTCGTCGCCCTTCTTTGGACCCGCTCAAGCACCTCGATGTCCTTCTTGTAGCGAGGGGCCCAAAACTGAACACAGTACTCGAGGTGCGGCCTCACCAGAGCTGAGTACAGGGGGAGAGAGCCGAGTACAGGGGGAGAAAGCTTTGCATAATACAGGGCCCAAATCCAGGACCCACAATCAGGAATTTGAGTTTTAATCTTACATCTACCTCCAAATTACTGGAGAGATAGCTATAATCTGGGCAAGTTGTTTATCTATCTCCCAGCTCACTACTCCCATCTTCTATAAAACAGCACTTGGAAAGAAATAAAGCTTAAAAACATTACTGCTGACTGACTGCTACTTAAACACTCATTTGCCAGCAGTGTTACTTGGGGAGATTTAAATATTCCACTTAGCTTTATATATTTATTCAAATATGTTTCCATTTTCCATGTCACAAGTAGAGCTTTCTAAGACTAGCAGTGATTCTAAACTAATAACAAAAAAATAAACCGTTCCTGGAAAATGTTTACATAAATGTCTTCACAACAGTCTTCAGCATATTTGCATTGCAGATGATTCTAACAGCTTCCTTTCTTCCCTCTCCTTTTACTATTGCATTTTTACTTTGTTTATAGTTACATTATCCTGTTTCCTGTTTTTGTTTGTTGTTGTTGCTTCTTTTTTTTTTTTTTAAATTGTGCCCTGTGACTGATTCTTCTGAAACCAAAATAATTACTTAAATATTCCAGAGTACATATGCTTAAAACAAGTATTTCTATTTGTCAATAAAGTGCTATCAGTGTTATAAAACAAGGAAACATATCTGAAATAGAGCTTTTACAGGAGCAAGAAAAAAAATCTTTAAAAGACAACACATAATTTTGGCAAACATACTTATCAGATTTCCTTTTGCATCTCTGAGAGGAGCGCCACCTCCACCTTTTCCCCAGGGATTGTAATTCCTCATTTCTGCTTCTAACTTGGCTTCATAGCGTTCCTTCTCTTCTCTCTCTTGTCTACGTCTTTCCTCTCTCTCTCTTATCTAAGAAGAAGCACTCCCAAGTCAGTTGCATAAAAATATCACATGAAGTATAATTTTAATAACATGTTAACAGAACAAGCTGAGTGCTATTGTTACCCCATCTGTATCTAGTAAATCACAAACATTTCATTGCCTTTACTGCACAGAGCACTGAACACTGGTGTCACAACGTACAGAGATACACATTATAAGACTTCCAAATATTCACGTCTGACACTTCCAGTAGATCAAAAGTTCCATATCCTTGGATCTTGCAGTACAGAAGGCTGTACTGCCTGAAATTTAAACAGGCAAAGCTCCACAGGCATTACAGCACCTTGATTCTCTCAACCTGATTTTGTTTAGCCTAAACTTAGATTAGAGATGGGATAAATACTTTTACCCATAAATGTTTTAAGAGAATGTGATACAAGTCTGTAACTATTCATGAAATATTTTTGTGCAGCAATACAGAATATTTAACTGCTCATACGGTTTGTTCCTTCTTTTTTTCAACAGGTTAAATGTATGTAACTAGAACTCCTTACTTCATACAGCATTTATAACATGAACAGCTGTTAAAAAAAAAGTCAAACTTCCATTCAAAGCTTTTGAAACATTAGCTGCTATTTCTGTTGCTGAAATATGTTAACGTATTTTCTTAAGTTTGTTCCTTCTGTGCAATAAATGTTTCCTTTTATCTCATAGTCAGACAATTTCATAAGAGATGCAGCGAGTCAAAACAAAGACCTGTCTAGTCCTGGAGACTGTTTCCAAAAATGGTAAGTCAGGTTTGCCTATAGGGGAAAAAAATGTTTCTGAACATTCTGTTCACTTACAACGATAAGTAGCATAATAGCTTTGAAAAGGTGTATTGTGCCAGGTTTATTAGAACTTTACATCAAAGCTGTGCAGTCCCTCACATGGCAAAATAGAATTTATTTCTTAATACTATAGTGAGAAAATACCTTCAGAGAAGCATAAGAACAAGTGCAGTATCAAACACTATTCCTAAATGTTTATTTTATTATTAATTTGGCCTTGACTGTCAGTAGAGGCTGGCAGTATCCCTATAGACAATCATAATTACACTATAATAATTTTATAGCAATTATTTACCTCCACTGAAGAAAAGTATAATGAATCAGATAGGAAAATGTTAGTGCCACTGAACTGGGTTCTAGCAAAATCTCTTCTGAAATGTGTCCTTATCATGGTCAAATACACTTTATAAATGTAGGTGCAGCAACAAAATGCCACTAAAAAGAGCAGAGGACTAGGATGTCTACTGGAAGACATGGAACTCAAATTTGTCTAGTCTATCAAAAAGGAAGTTGAAAAGAGATGAGACATCACATACAAAGTCACTAAAACCAAGGCATTTGAGTTAGTAACCAAATAATCATGAAGAACTTATTGAAATTAGAGTGCTCTTAATTATTAAAGCAATAACACTTGAAAGCAATCTTTCAATGAAAATACCAGAGCAAAACAATTCATTGCATTTAAGCTACACCTTCTTATGTTTATGAAAATAATTTTATATAATTTGATCTGTGGAAGTAATGTGTTTGCTCCTAGGCTTTGCATTTTCTCTGCCTCTTGAAGAGACAATAAGTTTGAAGAGATTGCTGTTCAACTGAATATCTAAAATGAACTAAAGAAAGGTCAGAGGACCAGGAGAAAGTAAATAATGAAGGAAGGAAGGGGTTAAGAAACATTTTTACTTGTAAATTAAATGCATATGTATGGAATGAATATGAAATGAAATCATATTACAGTTACAACCACTATATCGTTAACAACAAGAAAATATCAGAAGCTTTATAACACAGTACCTGCTGTTGCAATTCTTGTTGATAAGATAATGTTGCCTCTTTGGAGGACTTTGATTTTTCTTCAGAAAAAACTCCTCTGCTTCTTTGTCTGTCTCCTGTATTCCTCTGTCCAATGTTACTTCTAAATTAGAAAACCACACGTGAAATTAAAACATCACAGGTTCAAAAGGAAAAAAAAATCCCTGCCTGAAATATGTAACATCTTGTTTTCCATAGCCTGGCAGTTTATAGTCTGAAACATTTTCATAAATCTGTACAAAACAGAGGAGATCACTGAATTACTGTTTAGATAAGACTTCTTAATTAGAATTTTGAAGAGTTGTCTTTAACGTGCTTTAATTCAAAGGCACCTCATTAGCAAAATACTCCCAACATGAGAAGCATACCAATACATACAAATACAAGAATACAGATACAAATACAAGAATATGAATACACTTAATACTTACAGAGATTGCTCTACTGGGGCTTGAACTAATGGAGGATCCAGATTAGGTGTGGGTTGCATTCCCATCATACCTGTACCATCTGCACAATAAAAATAAAATACTATTTTAAGTTTTGGATGCTTAAAAATAAGTATTTGCTATTACTTAAAAGCATATCTCAGTGCTCAGACCAACTGCATGATTACCACAAGGACTTTGAACTTCTACATCAAACATAGCTAAAGCTTAATGCCCTTAAAGCAAGAAAAACAATGTAAAGGTACAACTCCATTTCTTACCTTTAAAATCAGCTAAACCCCTTAAATTTGTAAATTTACAAGTGTCTTCATTAGCATAATTTACAGTGAACTAACAAAAAGTAACTAATTTAACAGCTTTTGACCTCATGCTTTCCAAATGCATCCTGTTCTGTAAGGAGAACCACACTACACCATACACTACAGTGTATTTGATACTTGTACTCATAGTGAAATAGGAATGACAGCACTCTGCCACAGCAAGGGTTGAAATTACTGTACCTACTACTGCTTATGTTCAAGAAAATATGGGATGCATCTCTAAAACAATTTCATGCTTTGAAATTTTGCTCTGATAACAACCTTGAGGTTAAATTGATTCTATATGTGAATTTTATGTACTAGTTCGTTTAATACTCTGAAGTGTAAGCCATTTTATGCTGAAAGCTACATTGATAACAAAGCTAAAAAAAAAAAAAAGCTTCTGTGAATTAAAGATTACAGCTCCTATTTTACCTTTTCTTTGGAACTTCAAAAATCTTACAGGAGGTAGGAGGGCGGAATAACAAAAAAAAAAATTTTGCTTTTATTTCTCTAGCATTCTTTAATTTCACCAACTGATGCAAATCTCATTCACATAAACCCATAAAAAAATTATCGTTGCAAGTTTTCTTTGTCCTGCATTTTAAGTTTTCTGTAAAGGTACCAATACACAACTTTGAACTCGGTATACGTAGTTGTTACTAGTTTATATTATTCATCGTTTAAACAGATTAAAAGCAGTCATCTGAATCACTAACAACCAATTCACCTAAAATCATCAACTTACAATACGCAAGATTGGGATCCAAAGGATTTCTAGCCCCATAAAAGTAATAAGCATCATCATAAGGTGTTCTATAGTTGTCTGTCAAAACTGGCGGTGGAGGTGGTGGCATAGGTGCAAGCCTTAAAGAAAAAAGGAACAATTTCTATTTTGTTGTACAACTGAAAAAAGATCGTTCAAAGAAAAAGAAAAAAAAAATCACTATAGAAAAATTCTAGATGTAGCTCAGTCCAAGACCTCTTTAACGTTAGTGCCATGCAGGAATGAGACATGATAAACCTCAATAAGGGGTTAACCTTCCTTTAGGGAGTTGTACATGAACCCACACTAATCCAGAGATCTAAAGAGCATAAAACAAGGACACCTTCTTTAACTAGTTCAATTGATGACCCTTAACGGGTTACATCTGTAACAGTCAATAAAACAAGCCAAGGATTGGTCTCTGATTAGAGGGCAAGTGGCACAGCACAGCTTCAGCCACATGGCTAAAGCTCTGTCTCCCAAAACCAGTTTAGTCTCAGCCACAACATCGAGGAGAATTCCCTGAATTCCCGACCTTAGCCCTGGGAGACCTCAAACTGGTATGGTCCAAACTCATGCCAGAGCAGCCACCTAACAATACACACACTGCTGGGCATGTGCCCAAGCACCCTCACAACACAGTTTAAAGTCCCAGGTATACACATTATTTCTACAGTAAAACTCTTCTTCTACACAAACATCCACTAAGAGAGCCATATTCAAGTATGTTCGGCTTGGAGAAGGGAAGACTCTGAGGAGACCTGACAGCAGCCTTCCTGTACCTAAAAGGGCCTACAGGAAAGCTGGGGAGAGACTGTGTCAGGGAGTGTAGTGACAGAACAAGGGGGAATGGCTTTAAGCTAAAAGAGGGGAGGTTTAGATTAGACATTAGGAAGCACCTGGGAGCTGCCATTTCACCAAGAGTGCTGGCAAGCCCTCGGTGAAAGTCTTCATTCACTGGAGAGACGGAAGGCATGGACACAGGAGTTTGGAAAGCAACCCTGGGCCTTTCAGGTGGCACTTTCTCTTCAGAAGCTCTTGCTGTCAAGCCAAACTGCCTCAATCTATTTGGCTGAGGGAGAAAAGAAAAGAAGAAAAAAGCAGTTAACTTGTTATTAACATGAAATACTCTGAACCTCCATTTAGGTTGCATTACATAGTCTACTAGTTCTCAATTACCTGTTCAAATTTCTAGTAACTGCTTTTTTGTGTTGTGTTTTCTCCCCTCACAGGGACCTACTGGAAATCTACTGCTACAAGGAAATCTAGCATGTTTACCACAGAATTAAAAAAAAAAAAAACAAAAAAAAAACCTCCATGGCAAGTTTTAAGAAGTATATGGTTGTGTGTGGGGGGAAAAGGATCCAGGGGAAAAAAAAATAAAAGCATTTACTCAGTTGGCTGTAGCACAAGTTATCTACAGCTGCCAAGTTCCTACGCTGACAGTATTCTCATATTATGCACAGGAAAAGTTTATGAATGCCCTCCCCCTACTAAAACATCTCATCATCAGTAAGAGTAAAGACAAACATACACTGAGACTTTTTCCAATAAACATTTCCTTGCAGTACCATTATTTTTCAGGTTCCTTTGATTCGATTAGAGTTTTTCAAGGACAAACATAACAAAATTAGTTTAGTTTCTTCCTTTTTTTTTTTTTTTAAATAAAGTATCAAATGTTTATTGATAACTGGCAGCCTCAGAAACTACTCAAAGGCAACATGCAAGTAATGCAAAGGCATGCAAATCAGTTAGTTTCAGAGCTATCCTATCGCACCCAGAAAGCCCTTTCACCAGCTTCTATGCATAAATATTCTGTTTAAAAGAGCCTATAAAAGACCCAAAAAAAAAAAAAACATAACTATACACCATATAAATAAAACCAGATTATGCTTCTGAATTTACCAGTCCTAACATTGCAGTGCTTCAACTAACATGCATGCAGAGACAGTGATACCAGCACCAACTAAATATTTAAGATCTAACAGCAAACTGTATACCCTGAAGTATTTCAGCAAAATATTAAATGTTTACCTCCTCATCACTTAGCTGCAAGACAGTATATACAAAGCAGTTAGTACTCACCAATCATGAACTACAGCATTAAGATAAACAATTCACAAACTCTACCAGACATTAATATTCATTTATAATATTTAACTTCATATTTATAGATGTGAGTATGAAATTTGATAGCATACGAACTACAGTGATTTAAAATTATTTAGAAGTCTACAGACTTTTGTCTTTCAACTTATCTTTTCAAATCCAGTATCTTGAGCAGGAGAACATTTAAAACAGTCTTTCTTACTAACAAGCCTAATGTCAACTGTTCCCAAAGTGCCCCAGATTTCAGCTCTGTGGCTAATTAAAGATGTAACTATGGCAGTAGGTTCATCCTGGGGATTGTTTTATTTTAAACAAGCAGTATATACAACAGTCTACTTCTACATGCTCTGAAACAGGCATTGCTATTTAACCAACCTGTAATTAATCAAGAAATCCACCTAATTAGAATCTCTCCCCAAGAAGCAATTTGAAGCTAGCAGTGACTGTTGCTTAATGAATGCAGCAATTCTACTTAATTGAAGGCTTTCAGCCAAATTAATGGTTTTAAATATACATGTCCTGGACTTGCTTCTGGATATAATTTTGCTCATACAATAAGCACTTTTCAGTCTCTGAGCAAGATGCAGTATGTGGAATGCTTCACCACAGCATGCTTCTGGCTGTTCACGTCTGATCAGACATATTTATGCTGACTTTTCTGCCTGCTGCAGCCAAAAGCACCAGCATCCTCTGCTCAGTTTTACCTCTTTTCCTGTCTTGCTCCCAACCATGTACTCCATTCCTCTCCTTTTCACCATCTGAATCCATGGTTAGCTCTAAGCTAACAAACAACAAACGATTCAGATTTTTGCCAGCTAACCAAGCCAAATTGGTTCACACAAAGGGATCAAACGCATGCCACAGATGCCTTAAGTAGAGAGGGCAGGAACATGCAGCTAGACCACTTGACCACCTTCTTTCAATTTAGAAGCAAAAATTGATTCAGCTTAGTTGCTTATCTATGTGCATTTCCAGTCTCCTGCCTCAAATGCTGACTGCTTTGTTGATGATAAGTTACAGAAATTCCGTCACCTTCATCTTCTAGAAAATGAGCACTCCTTTCACATCCATTGAACACATCCAAAAGTAGTAGCTCAAGTTTCCTTCTGTTTTGTAGCCTCCGTCAAAAAACAGCACCACTGATAACTTAACCTAGCAACCAGCTAAGTCATTAACTACTTTATTATTTCTTGAGCAAATGATCTGTCCTTCATATTCAACTGCAAATATCTACCATTCCCAAGATGCACTGGCCTTGGCCACTTCAATAAATACACCCATGCAAATCATACTAGTTATGTGACAATCAAACTGCTATTAATGCTGCTAGCACTGACAATCTTACTCCTACATATGTGATAGTCAAAATTCTTGGTACAATGATCACCTTAATAAGGACGTGGAGACATGTTAACAAGAGTTAACTGCATTAACTCTTACAAGTAACACAACATTAAATATCTTGCTTTTTACATTTGATGGTTTAAAAAAAAAATACAACTTTGAAATATATAAAAAAAAAAAAAAAACATCACTTTGAGTTAAAATCAGCTGCAAAATAACCGGATTTTTTTAATTGAAAAAGAACAAAGTATACAGAGAAAAACTTTCAGCAGCAAACTTTACATTCCCCTAGAAGACTCACTATTGTGCGCATGTACAGGCTACCACTGCATACCAAATATCTTTTCCATGACATTTAGTGGTTTTACAGAACACTTGGCCAAAGAGAAAAAAGAAAAAGTTTTAAAACTTTCTTGAACGTATTTTCCTCTTAACCTGAAAGTATGTGCAATGAGGACAGTCTTATCATCCTTGGCCTGAGTTTTACTCTATCCTAATGCACTATTAGAAAAAAGATACACGTTTATCATTCTATAAAAGCCCTATAGTTTTGTGAATCAACACCCATAATGTACATATAATAAGAAAAAAGTCTATGTAAGTGGGGAAAAAAAAAAATCCAAACTCCTCACCTTCTTTTCTGGGTCTAGAGCTCCAGAAGCAGCAACTGAGAGCTCAAGTTCCTTCTCACTGTTTTTGTGGAAAAAAAAAAAATCACATCAGAAAGCAGTAAGCCATACTCATTTTTTCAAAGCATAGACTTCACAACTCTGCAAATACAGAGTAACAAGACATGCTTCTACTTGACTTCTTCTGGAGTCAGGGAATGAGGATACTGTATATCCTTTGTACTTAAACAGAACTCAAGAAGTACTCAGCCATCATTTATTCCACCTAGTTAAATTCCAACTACCAAAAAATGAAAAACCACACATTGCTTTTTTTTTTTTTACTACAACTTTTCAGATTATTTCTTAAAAATGTATCTTTATTCACATCACAGTGTTATAAAGTTTATAATAAATGTATTCAAATTATTCAGAAGTATAACAATATTTTACTATATTGTAATTTCAAGCCTCAAGCAATTTCAGCATGTGTAGCTTTCAATCACAGCGAAGCTGTCAAGAGTAACTTTAATTCATTATCCTTTCATTAATATAACTGTGTGTTTGTATATTTATATCTATTATCATTCAGCAAGCAGCTACTAATACATAAGTAAGAAATTTTATTCTATTATTTTGCATAAATCCAGTACTTTGAAAGCAAAAGGTTCCCTTCCTAAACTGGAAAGTGAAATGAAAAATCATTTTCAACTTTGCAAAGTAATTTTCTACCACCAAGAAAGATATACCCACCTAGAGCTTCTTTATCCCTAAGAAACTGAAAATCAATTTTTAAAATGAAAAATCAATTTTTTATTTGTTTCACTGAAAGCTGGTGATTTTTTTATTATTATTATTAAAAACTAAAGTTCTCATGCCAACTAGCTTAATTAGGTATAGTATTAGCTATTTAGCTAAAGTTCCTTATTTATGAAAATTATTTGTACCATATTCCATACGAAATTCCTTTAAAGTTCTGCTATTATTGTTTAAAAAATATATATAGTAACTTTCCATTACCGTCTCTTATTTCGCTGTTGCTCAGCCATCTGTTCAATTAGTTCTTGCCTGTATTTCTCTTTTTTCCTTTGGAGAAGTTCTAGGTCCTGACCACCTAATGGAAATTGTCGTACAGTGTGTAAGTGCTCCACAAACTACACAAACATACTGGATAAAAACACTGCATTTCAGTCAAATCAAAACATAAAAGACAGCAGAGTATACAATCAGAGAACGTGCATAAGATGTGCACTATCTTTACTGATTAAAAAGAGGTTTTCATATTGAAGTTTGTTTTGAATATGACAATCAGAGCTACTATAATTTTCATTGTTACTTTTCTAGTTTGCCTGTTTCTGTGCAGTCAGGGAGCTACAAATTTCAAAGCTATCTGATACAACAATGAAAAAAAAATTTTTTAATTATTATTACTATTATTTTCTTTCTAATGCTCAACTAAGGAAGATACACTACAGCACTCCAAAATTATGAAGCACTGTTTCTGGATAAAAAGGAAAGGTAAAACTAAAGATAGTCAAACTCACAGGGAGGAAAGCAAAGTGCTCCACTTTTAAGACAGTTTCCATGACTACTACAAATTAGAAAAGTATTGGCTGATACGTGTACGTAAAAGGAAACAGTGATCACATCTCACACGGATTTTGAGGAACCCAAAAAAGCCCTTACAACTTCTGGTAGTTCCCCCCACAGTATGTGTGGAGTTTTCTATTAAAAATAAACAAACAAACAAAAAAACACCACTTGTATGACAATCAGACACAGCGGACTCTTGACATATTTTCATACACACAATCACCGTAGATTTCAAATGAAGTGAACCTGAGCAATAAAGTGAAGTAGGCTGCAAAGTAGGAGAAAGAAATAAAAGAAATAAAAAGGAAAAAAGCATCTATATGATTCATGACAGATTTTTTTTTTCAGTTATTATGTCAGGATTGTAAAGCAACCAAAAGAGGTAAGATAACCTCATGGCTTGTGATTCTGGGGGAGTCTGAAATCAATCTAACTTAAAAAAATAATAATCATATCTTAATAAAACATAATATTCTTTTTCTAACTAAAGACTGCAAGGAAGACTAACTCATGACTTTGTGTACTGTAGGTTATTACAGTGAGATGGCTATGAACAGATCAGGGAGACTAACAGTTACACCACCATGGTTTTAATGCTGTCCTCAAACAGAAAACTGTCCTGCCACACATAGCACTGAAGATCAGGTATGTTCAAATATAAAAATAAATAGGAAGTACACCTCACACCTGTTAGCCAATTTTCCCATCAACTCAAATCTACCTTGTATTCAAAGGCTTGCATCTGAAGAACTAGTTTTCTCACTTGTCTTTATTTTCTGAATTATGCTAGGAATGCTTTTTTTTTTCAGCAACACTTCTTTCCACTAAGCTCAATAATTTTCACTGCTAAATATAATGGCTACATTTAACCAGGAAGAGATAATCAGAACACAGTTGCGAACACTGCTATTCCTCATACTTCTGCAATTGATATTAGTATCAAAAACATTAGTCATTAATAAAAAAATAGTAATTAGTATCAAAAAGAAGGTATATGGGCCTTACACTGTTAATGATAACTAAGAAGAAACTCAGGCTCTTCAAAATTAATTCAAAAGCCCAATTGCATTAGCTGGGAGAAGGAATATTTTTTCCTTTTTCAATTTTTTCTGTGTTAGTAGTATTTATTTACTGGCACCAAGGAAAACTAACATGAAGAAACAGCTAGATTTTTGAAGTTTTTAATTATTCCCAAAGAAAAGTCAAATATGCAAAGAAAGAATAACTTTGTGTCATGAGTTAGGTTTCTATACGTACCAAGAACGAGGCCTGTTGCATATGTCATTTCAGGAGCAGACTTGGAAGGTTCATTAGCTGAAGAGCTAATTTGTGCCTGATTTCTGGCAAAGACAAAAAAAGAAAATGGAAAGATCAGACTTACAACATTATGTGATATATTTCTGACAGAGACCTTTCTAAAATCCAAAGAAACTTCACAAGCAAAATAAGAAGCCTTGTGGAAAAAAAGGCATTTCTCACAGTTCTTACTTGCCTGTGGTTTCTGAAGCTCTCAGAAACACTGACGCAGTCGAGCACTTAAAAGTGTTGACAGACAAAAGCAGTGCCAAGCAAGAGTTTATATAAGGTCTTTACACACGTTTTGCTTTTGCCTCTTAGATCACGTCTTAATTTTGCAAGTCCAAAAAACTAAAAAAGGAATTTTAAAACTACTATCAGAAAAAAAAATAAATAAATAAAATCATCAGTTAAAACTTCAACCTCAGTTAGAGAGTAGGTGATCTGTCATTTCAAAAAACAACACTGGCGTGCAATCTTCCATAGCTATGTTCAAAGCAAAAGCATCATTCTTGCCCTATATTACACTAGCTGTAGGAAAATAATTCACCATTTTGGATAGCATATTAGGGATTGTAAATAAACATTTTCCTTTCACCATGAATTTGTAGTGTGATTATCAGAAAATTACATTGTATACCAGACCTAAAATTTCCAGTTCTTGGAACCTGCTGCACATGTGATCTTTCCTTTAATTCATCTTCATAATCTGCAGGTAGATCTCGTACTACTCCATCCAGATTGGGCCTTAAAGAAATAGAAAATATTTAGCCATGCTTGCCAAAAAATGTGCAATCCAAAATAGAAGGTCCAGCAGTTTCATGCAGATGGATCCTCAGCCTGACTGCACATGGAACAGAACCAGTTCTGAAAATACTGTGCAAAATTTCTAGAAATAATTCACTTCATTAGCATTGCCAAAGCACCTCCAACTGAAATGCAGATCCCCAAGTCTGCTTTCCAGGCTGAAGGGATACCACAGCTCCCAGAAAACCTCTTACTTGAAGGTCTACGTGACTGCATGCCAGCTAGAATTTGCCACGTAAAATTCAATTTTCCTTGAAAAAACATACTCATTCTTCATTGCAGAGCCAGCTTCCCTGACAAACCTTATTATTTTTGTTGTTTATATAAATGTGACCAAATTCACATCCCTGGTGGCACCCCTGGAACAGATCTTGGAAGCGATGCAGGACCACACACTTTAGCATTCAGACTGCATTGATTGAAATTGATCTTGCTCTTAATGAGCCAACGAAGCCTCCAACAACTATCGCACAAGCCTGGTGAAATAGTTGATTCAGATATGAAAAGCTTCTTTAATGACACCCTGCCCTTCACCATGTATCTGATACTATTTAAAATGAGAGAGGTGATTTTTGATCTAGATTAAAGACAGGTAATACGGTGAATACCAGAATTCAGGAGCTAAAATTCAAAGCAACTACACCTGAAGAAAGTAATACAAACGAAAATTCAAATAATTCCAAAGATGCTAAAAACTGCATGAACACAAGGGAGCTTTTCCTGAAAAGGTCTGGGGTAGTTGAATGTACAGGCTTTTCTAACCTTTCAAACTAATTATTCTATAACGAGGACTTCAAGTTATCTTGATAAAATGAGGCAGGAAGAGACACTTAATGAAAAAGCAAGCAATAGATGCTGACAAAGATATATTTTCCAATGCCAGGCAAACACAGGGACTTACTACTAAACAAACCAAAAAAAATCCAAGGTAAACAGAAAAAAACATTATATTCTTTCATGTAAGAGCCACAGCTCTGCCCATCCCTGCAATTTAAGTAATAGACAATAATCAGAGGCAAAAGGATGCAAGAATGAAAGCCTCTTGGCATAACAAGGTCTCCTTTCATGATCCAGATCATCTTTTTGATAACGATCAACCTGTTACTTACAAGGCTGGTCACGCATGACAAACACAGCCGGGGAATACAAAGCCTAAGTCCACGGTGTGATGAAAGGAAGGAGGGAAGAAGGAAAGAGCCAAAGCCCAGGATTCAACCTGTTTGTTTGTTTGGGGTGGGGGGAACGCGTGTTGGTTTTTGGTTGGTTGGCTTTGGTCATTTTTTTTTTTTTTGGAAAAAGCAGCAAGCTTAGCATGGCAGGTCTCCGACAAACCGCTCTGCTTTGCCCAGACACATTGACTCAATTCAATCAAGAAACTCTCATACCTTGTATATAGGATAGACCTGGTGCTGGGGATAGAATAAAGCAACGATGACTAGATGATGACTAGAACAAAAAACTTTGGCTCTTCCTCTCACTCTCCTATCACCGTTTCTATTTGCTGAAATACCACAGACCTCATGCCTCCATCAGATAAGAAACCTTTCTGGAAAATCCTGCCAAACATCTGCCTCTTCAAATTAATAAAACCCATTAAAAAAAAAAAAAAACTTCAGTGCAGCAAATAAAGCATTCCTTCTTATTTAGTTTGTGTTATAAATCAAATGCGGTCTGGAAAAGGCTGACTAGCTGAAATGTGGAAATAAAATACTAATGCTTAAGAAGCGAAGCTGTCAGTAACTAAAAGATGTGTTTTTCCTTCTTGAAGAGAGACTGATCATAAAAGAATAAGTGGAACTCCCTGTGAAGGACAAAAAATACTGGATTACAAAATAAATTTAATATAAAAATGATGAAAGGTTATTTGCCATTAAAAAGAAAGGACTAACTACTAATAAATAAACCTTAATTTTACATTCAACTTTAAGTTCAGGCAATTCAGGTGATGGTTAAGCAAATTCTTTCAATAAGACGTACCAAGTTTGTCTATAACAAAGATAAGACTATCTTCTGTACTTTATTTTAAAACAAACCTTGAACAAAAACTGTTTCAGAGGTCTCTCCAAAGCAGCAATGCAGTGTCTGGTGATATACTGGTCTCACACATTTGTATTAGCATCAGTGTTCTTGGAATAACCAGGGACTTGTAAACTTCGAAGCAGGATAATACCGTCTACCCTTGGTTCAAAAGCCATTCTTTGAGAAACAAAAGTAAGCCCTCAAACTTCATCAGCTGGTCATTATTTCAATATTAGACTCTACATCCAATTGCATAGACAGAGGCACACAGTTCTCCTACTGGATGTTAATTAACAAGTTTAACAGCAAGTGCCTTTTTCTGAAAAAACATGGACATTTTGTCTACCTTCGTTAGACACAGAATCAAGCTTCTGCAGTTTCATGCTGATATTCTGAAAAGTTGTTGGACAGGATGACTCCACCTGAAAACCTTCTTTTCTCCATCCCATGGTATAACACTGGCAGAAAAGAGCAATTTTTGCATTTTGCACTTTTCTCCAAATTGCATTCAGCAGAAAGAGGTAATCTGATTCCTGCTATCTCTTTAACCACCGCTTCCGTTTGCCAGTCTCTTTCAGAAGCGCTATACGAATAAATCCAGGCTTTTAAGAAGCACACTTGAGCATACCATCTGAAACGCTGAAATAACCCATTTACTTAGCCTGCATCTCAGAAACGCTTCAAGATATTTCATTTTTCCCATACCTACTTGTTTCTTTTCTTTATGGTTTTATTTACTTTCACATTAGAAGGGCTGAGAAGGAATGTTGAAAGGTATTTTTGTACAGAGGTAACTGTACTTGACTGCTATTTGAAACTGGAAAAGAAGTATGATTCATTCCATTTAGAAAAGCATTTCCAGTATAAGAGCATTTTAGGGTTTGGTTTGTTTTTTCCAGTTACTGCAAAACTATCCAGAAAATTATTCCTGTAAACAATGACTCAAAAGATCATCTAGTCAGTCCACCAGCAATTAAACATGAAACATGATCATAGGATTTAACACTGTTGAGTGGTAGAATTTGCCTTCTGTTTTTTTCTCAAAGTGTTAACTGGTTATTTTCCCTAACATGGGAGAAATGCTGGTGTTTCCTTCATGGAAGAAACAGCAGTAAAATGATTCTGACAACAGGCTTAACAAAAAGAAGGGAAAAAAAATGAAGAAAAAAAGACCATGCTAGCCCAAGAACTGCAAACTGAACAAATGAACACTCTTAAGCACATATTTAAAGTTTATTTACAGGAAACTTTACTGATTTATTTCATTTGAATGTAGTTGTATAAAACATGCCTGTTTCAAGTTTGCTACTATTTCAGACCACAACCTTTCCACTTTTGAAAGGAACCTGTTTTTGCAACAGAAGAATCGAATGTGGCCAGACTCCCAAACCCTGAATTACTGGTAAGGCTTACTTCTTTGTTTTTTAAATCAGTGAGCTAGAAAAGAAAGATTAATAATTTATGTCAAAGTAACCAAACTGACCTATCAGTTAACACAGTGTAAAGAATATATAATAGAAACCAAGTATTATGTGCTCTTTATTATAAGATTTACCTCTAACACTCTCTTTTATTTGGGCGCAGTCCTTAAATGCGTTATTCAGATTGTGTAGTTTCTACTGAGATTAGGACCAGTTAACACCATCAGGATTCAACTCAATTACACGTCTAAAAGACCTTGCTATTTAGCAAGACATACAGTAAAAATGAGGACATACATGTTTATCTTCGGTTCACATTACAGAGACTACTGTACTCTGGCAAATACGTAGATTTACCAGATACATTTATATAAATTGTGTGTTTCTTTTTCTCAAGTAATTTCACAAGCACCCTTGTCTCACCACACTATATAAAATGCTACCTACCTAATGTATGATTTACATTGTTAGGTACTGATCCAATTTTTAAATGCTTTTCTAAAAACTATGACAAAAGTCCTCTTTAAATTAAGTCCAAAAATTCTGCTTTCACCTGTGAATCTTGTGTAATTTTCACTGAGAGCAAATCATGGCTATCAACAAGCACTACAGAAATAAAGTAGAAAACAGAGTTAAAGATACCTTTCAGCATAAAAATATCGGGGAGGTTTTCTCTCATAAGCGCTTTCACATCTAAATCTAGGGTCAAATTCTTCACTTATCTCAGGTTCATAGTCCATTCTGTAGTATCTTCGATCAAAATCACGATCCTCATCAAGTCTGTGATACCTTCTTACGGGAATTACAGATTGACTAGGAAATCCACGATGTCTTCTACTGGGAACATCCAAATCCTCATCAAGTCTTTTACTTAATAATCGACTTCTTAATTCAACCTCATCATCTAGCCTGTGGTACCTGTCTTCCTCCAGCCGTCTCTTATTTAGCAGCTCTTCATAACCTTCTGTAGAAGTAAAGGCATCTTTCTTGGGAGGTTCTGCAGCTGTACTACAGGGCTCTACTTCTGTACGCGGTTCTGGCCAGAGCTTGGTAGCAGCAATAAGTTTTTTATTCCTGTCTGTCTCACGCTGTTTAATGGAAAAAGAATTAAAAGATTTGAATATAAACAAATTACATTGAAGAAATACAAACCAAGAAATACAATACAAAACCAAGTTTTTGCTCAAACATTCCCTAAATAGGTACTGGAGAAGAGTCACGACGTATGCAAGAAGAATAATACTTCAAGGACTTGAAAGCTAATGATTTTTTTCTCTCCTCAAGAAAAGAAAGCACACTTTCCCTTACCTATCATTTTCCAGAATAATAGCTATGAATCCTGAACAGGCCTTTTACAAACTCCAAAGGGTAACAGATTTGACCTTCAGATTTAAGGGCACAAAGAATCAAAAACCATTTTTAACTTCATACCTGATCAAAACACTATATATCCTTATTCCACATTGAGACAAGTTTATGATACCTCAGCTACGAGCACATTTTAACCTAGCCTCTTCTTAACCTATTTTTTTTCTCCTCATGGGTTTCCCCATGGAACAGTCATGTAGTATTTCTGTACACTAATCTTTCATCTCTGGCATAAAGATGGCAAAAGGGAACAGATACAGGAACCCCTACTTCAGAGACTCAGTTATACAAACAAAAGCTGCATTTCTGCCACCTATTTCCTCAGGCTTACTGTTACAAAGTGCTCCAACGCTTGAATAAGCCAGTAAGAAATAGATACAGAATTCCAGCATCTCAAGGATGCCCAAATACTGTCTTGTAGCTGTCTTTACAGGTTAAAATAGTTTTTAAGTATGTGATGCTCCAATGCACTTGGATGAAAAGATCATTCTCATAAGCAAATAATCTTTCTGGAGACAGATAACAAACATTATTCTAGGTAGAACTTATAAATTCATGAGCATTTGCACTTGCTAACTGCTGTGAGAAAGGCAATGAACTTTGAGCTGCTGTGAGTCCAAATGCAAGTTCCATTACAGAACCACTTAGCTCTCACAGTACCGTATGCATAAGAATCCCCATATTAAAAAGAAATGGGATTCTTAGAGCAAACCTGCATTAGATGAATTTGAATATTATCACAGTCCATCACTAAAGCAAGGCAACAGTATATTTAAAAAAATACATTCTATGCAAGATTTTAAAATTAACAAACTGCATGGAGGCTTTCTCAGGTCAATATATTGCTTCCAGATTACCACTGTTGTGAGAGCCTTTGTTTTAGTAGACATAAAAAATCTCGTTTGATTACAATTAGTGCTCTTAATATTGGTAGTTTCCTGTAGAATGGAGGATGCTTTTGTGTTCATTTACAAACAGTAACTAGAAATAGAGTGGGAGAAGAACAACATTCAAAGTCAAAAAGATTAGACCTGCACCCCACTGAAAGATTCATTTCCAGAGAGCAAGGAAGAGAACTGTACTTAACAAAATGGCAGAGAAAGCCAGGCTCTGAGATTCTTAACTCCACAGCACAACTTTCACCAGCAGGTAAGAAGTAATGAATATTTGAACTTCCTGCCTCTTGTGCAAATGTGTATGTCTCTTGAAATAATTGGTTTTAAGTTTGCAACAAGTGTTCTGAAACGTTTTATTAACTAAATCTGCACTTCATTTCCTTTAGTCTATGAAGTCTTAGTCCATTCAGTCCTTCTAGATCCATGCATGACAACTAAAGGAGCTTGCAGCAACGTGCCACTTCTCTCCTGCTAGAAAATACAATTCCCTAAAATCCATGGGCCAAGATGTTTGTGCAGGTCAAACTCACTAATTCAGTCAGGATAACTCAGCTTAATAGGCCTCTGCTATTTGAATTATTTTAAATCGTTTTGAGGTGACTGAAGCAAGCATCTCAACAAGCAGGTATAAACCTCTAAGATGCTACCAAGCACTGGATGTAGTTATTAGTCTCTTCCACCAGAACAGGTCTCTGCAGAGAATGCACCTATTTACAGCTTAACAGTAACAAAAACACCAAATGGGCTGTGGGTAATAACAGCTACATCTTTACAGGTCCTTCACCTGAGATTTTGAGTAATTAGGGGGGGGAGCAAAGGGGGACAAAGTTTAGTCTGAACTTCTTCCCTTCCATGTCTGACAAAGAAAAGCAAAGCTGGCATTAGACCTTCTCTAAGATCTAATAGATTAAGGCATGAGGCAATGGTGGCAAATTCATGGGTGCCTATAACCTAAGAATCTCTGGAAGAGAAATCTGTCCCTGGCATTGTAACACATCAACATATAAATGAAAGGCCTCAGCTCAGAATCTGAGTTCAATTATGCATGCACTTAAGTCTATATTCATGAGTTTTTGTTGATTCACAATTGCACAGCACCACATACTGGACAGCTAGCATCTAATCTGCTTTCTCATGGACTGGACATGTACTGAGGAAAAGGCAGCTACAAAAAAAGCTGAGGAGCACTGTGCAGGACTCGGTATTTTGTCCTGAGAGACAGTTTCCTTGGCCACCACTTTTACCAGCAAGAACAATCTAGGGAATTCCTTCAGAGATGCAGAGAATGAAAGCACTCTTCTACCAGACAGACATGACTAAAGGAATCAAGAACTCTACTGCATGGCTCATAACCAGGACTTGTTAGATACACCTATAAAGCTGTGGCATAATTAAACAATGTTTTTTGCTTCTTTTATCTTACTTTGTATGTCTTAGTCAGTGATAAAACAATCAGCAAGATCATTTATGCTCTCTTTTGTATCAATATAAGTAGAATTATATTACCTCTGTGTTTTTCCTCCCTAATTTCCTTATCTTTTCATTCCATTCTTCTTTATCCCTGAGATATTGATTGTACTCCTTGTTTCTTTCAAGCCGTAGTTTCTCCTAAAACAGGCATTGAGAAATAAATCATAATTTTGCACTTTGAGAAGTTGCTTTTAACTTCACAGTACGGTATTAAATGAATACAAGCAAGCTGTAACCCCCCCCCTCTTCTTTGCAATGCACAGATAGGACTTGAATTGCTTTGGGGGGTGGGGTGTTCATTATCAGCACACAGTACTTGCTCTTAATTGGAGATCTCCAGAGCAGAAAGTAGCTTCCTGGACATGAAGTCTAGTCCCCAGTAACACTGTGTATCAAGTTGCATCTCAAAAACAGGTAGGTTTCCTCCTGCTACATCTATTCCAAAATTGTTTTGGAGCCTTAGTTCTTTGGAAATCAGAAGTTAATTCCTAATTGTGAATATTAATGTATTTAAAGATGATTTTAAAACACACCATTTTTTATGCTCAGATTAGTTGTCACTTGCTCCACTCAATTAAAACAAGACAACAAATACACGTACAGACAAGATGTGTCAACTAGAGCTTAGGATATAATTTGAACTGTCAAATTTAAATGAGCAGTTAAGCTGACTGCAAGAAGTGTCAAAAATGCAAAAAAAAAATCAGTCTTCACCTTGTGCAAGAATTATTAGCTAGTTTTGCAAGGTGACATTATAAACAGCTGGCTCAGGTCTAAAAATATGCAGGACTTGTACGTTAACAACTTACTATATTAAGAAATATACCAGTCTTCAGGGAGAACAAACTTTAATTTGGATTATTTTCTGATATTGCTACTTAATGTTCAGAGCAAGGGGCATCTCTTATACTACCTAATTCCAACCTGTATAATGTGAATGAGGAAAAGGAGAATTATACTACAGTATTATGAACCACGTTCTATACTCCACTGCAGAATTTTCCAATAAAAGGCAAAAGCCATTAAAAAATTTCAACATTATATATAAATATACTTTCCCGTGACCAGATTTCAAACAAAAAGAATTTATACCTCCATCAGCATAGAAATACCAGCTTAGTAATAGTTTTACAAATAAGACCAATGCTCCCCCAAAAATGGCTCATTTCAATCTTTGTGTCTAATGGGTTTCTGACACTGACAATGTAAAACTTGAGGACAGTTATGAAAGGTGCCCTAGGGATATTCTCCACAGCTGAGAAACTAGCATTGTCTTCAAAAGGTTAAAAGCTGACAAAAACAGTCAGCAGAAAATTCGGTACACTGTGTGACAGCACATTTTACCAAGTACAGAAAACAAAGATGCATGTGTTAGCCTCTAATCATCATCTGTGCAGACACTAACTGTTTAGCAGGGCACAGTGTGACATCTTCTGGCAGCTTTTAGTTTCTACAATAGCAATAAATAAATGGATAAAGAAGATAAAACGTGCTTGTACAGAAAATCTTAACTCAAGGTTGAACAGCTATGATATAAAACCAAAGATCAGGCATGTTCCAAGTCCAGATATGTCTTTAACTTTCCACAAAATTAAGATACTTTATCGTTCACTGTTTTGGCACACATGCCAACAAGGGTTAACACAAAGTTCAGAAGGACTTGAAGCCAAGTTAAACTCAGCATAAGCTTGGCACAAAACCACATGCTTCCCCTTTCCAGGGCATTTCATTCTCGCTGCCTCCCTTGTTTAAGCACTAATACATTTTGGGATTTGAGGCTTTTTCATAACAGTAGTTTTCATTTGTTTGAGATATCATGTGGCTCCTCATATGGCCAAACATTATTGCCAGCATAAGAGAGGCAGAAAGAACAAATAAGCACAGCAAGGGCAGGACCAACACATTCCCTAACAAGTCTTGTGCCGTATTACCGTGACTGCGTCACCCCAAACACAGAGTAAGAATGCAATTCCAAAGCAGCGGAGGTTTAAAAATAGATAGCTATAGATTAAAAGTGCAACAGTGCAGTCCTCATCCAGAAACAGTTTCTCTTTTTCTTGCATCTCAACTAGAGTTCGACTGATCATTACAAACTGAATCAGCAAAAATATTTAATAAATTATGATGTTTCTGCTGATTCAACTTCCTGGATCAACTTCCAAGAAAGCACAAGAAAGGAACAGGGAATATAAAGCAAACTGTGTGAGGGCAGAAAGAGCAGAGTGACTCCTGTAAGACTGATTTAGGCTTTCAATGAATCGTACCATGCATCAGAAGAATGGAACAGATGTTAATAAATTCCACACATGCACATTGCATCTTCATAACTAACCTCCACCAACAGAGAGACTGTTCTAGCTGATATCTTTCTCCAACATAGGAAAAGAAGACTATAAACTGTTAAGAAATCTCAGGGAGATCAAAAGGGGCTAAATGCAGAGAGAGAACACGTGCTTTTCTCAAAACACACCAATACACATAAGCTCAAAGAAAAACAGAAAGTGAGAAGACACTTATATTAACAGCAGGCAGTATGTGAGATAAAAGATTAGCTTTTATTTAGATTCTTGGATTTATTTGTACAAAAAGAAAAATAACACAAGATTAAGCAGGCAGTGTGCAGAGGAAGAAATCAAAACAAGTTGTGTATAGCAGAAAGAAAACTTCTTTTTGTTCTGATAGGAAGTGACAGTAATATCACTGTAGAAAATTGATCTTATCCCCAGACTGCACTACGAAGGGTAACAAATTAGAAAAGTGTACATAATCATAAGAACGTCTTTTATTTGATCAATATGGACTGCTGAATAAAGAACAAGCACAACCACAAGAGCTTTTCAACACAGCAAGTGCTCTGTATGTATGAATTAGAAGCAGCAAACCTCCAGCTGATATCAGTATAGAATTACACAGCTAATTATCTACAAATTAAAGTAGAAGTATCCTAGGATTACAAAAGCCTGATAGGTATTAAAAAAATATCAATATTTAAAGACTACGTTTCTGAAAATTATTCTAATGATGACCTCCAAAAATGTTCACTTGGAAAACCGGTGTAAAAATGAAAAATCTTATGTAGAAATATCTTTTGTGTCAGTTTAAACATCTGGGTTCACTTTCAGGTTATACACAAGCTTAATTTCCTCCAGGCACTCACCTTGGCAGACCTTCGCTCATCAATAGGAAGAGATAATCCCTGAGTATAAGGATCTACTTCACCAGTAGTCAGGTAATTTTTCTACGTTAAAAAAAAATAATAAGCATCATTCAATATATTTTAAAATACCAAATCTTATCGCTAAGCAGTTGCTAGAAATTATATTTGTTGAAATATATCTGATCGATTTAATGAAAAAAGACTGATGAGCTTCACATTCTGAAAATGCAGGATGCTTTCAGAACAGAAAAATGAAGTGAAGGAATATGGAAAGCAAAGGGCTTTCTTAATACACTACTATTACAAGGATTACGTAGCCTGTGTATCAGATATTCAAAAAATTACTGATTTTTGGAGTAAAATTACAAGCATTAGAGGAATTTTCCAAGACATTACCATACTTAAGATGAAAAACTGACTTCTCTAACTTCAGATGTACACCTACCTCTTATATTAACAAATGGAACCCATGCTAATATCAGCACAGACACCACTTGATATACATAGGTATCGATACTATCTGTTTTCAGCAACAGTAGTCGCCAAACTTTTCATAATAATGATCCATCACCAAACCTTGCTGTTCCTTGTGGACCATCAGTCACTTTCAGAACAGACCTTCCAGCTGAACACACTGTGTTGTGGATCAGTATCGCTCCCCAGGCCACAGCTTGGAATCAGGGCTGCACAGCTAGTCAAAATACCAGCCTTTCAAACCAAACACCAATCAATGCTGGAATACATCCTTCGTTTCCAGGTCTAGTGGTTCCTTCGTACACCACTCACTTACTAAAAGCATCCTCAGGCCACTCTCAGTCGATCAAATAATGTTTTATAAAATCTGATTACATTTAATAAAAAGATCGTCTACTTCTGTGGCATGGCCAGTGATGGGAATGTGTTAGTTATGGCATTTCACTAGAATGGAAGTTTCCTTCCATTATCTATGCTGTAACTTAGCCTGAAAACCAACAGGCATGTAAACAGGTAAGAGCTCTACTTGTTTCGGTACATTTACACTATAAATTATATTCCACAACTTCACATTAAAAGATCTAAGGAATTTAATAACTATGCAAATATTCAAACACAGAGAAAACTAAATTAATGGAGAACTAAGTTATTTTTAGTAGACAAAAATAAATGAACAGTAATCGCCTCTACCCCATAACTCTTTTCATACTTCAAACATCTGTAGAGATTACCTCAGATGTTAAAAAGCTATTTGCCAAAACACAGAAACTGATATGGAAATTGCATTTTCTACATAAGCACAACTAAATGAGTTACTAACCAAAAAATCACTGTGAGAGCTGCTAAGAGTTGCACTCACTCTCTATGCAATAATAATAATAAAAAAAAAGATTATCTCATAGCTTACAAAAAAAATAAGCTCGTATACCTAAATGTGTAAAACTGAAATTCAGTTGAGAATAAAATACTAGAAGTCAACATAAAAATGATGCTATTTGGATACTTTGGTGGGAATTATAAAACAGTTCAGGTTTTCACACAATATTCTAATTTGGAAAATAACCTGAAGTTTCAGATTAAACAAGAAGCAACAATTATATAAGAATCATATTGATTAAAAGTTAAGAAGCCAGTTAATTTTGTTATTGCTGTTGTTAGTCAGGAATTCCAGTGTGTGCTAATATAGTTAATTTCTATCATAGGCATGTTAATCATAGCTCAAAAAAAAAAAAAAAAAACAAAAAAAACAGAAGGTTGTTTTTCCACCACACTAGCTCCTGGTCCTTTATTGTTCAGATTAAGCAACTTCAACCTGGACACACAACATTAAAAATATGAAAGTTAATATCTTATATACATAACTGTATAACAACATACAACAAAATTACTGTAATTGTAAAAAAAGCTCATAAAGATGTGCCTCTGGTATTTTATTCTTGCATTCTGAACCACTAGGTGATGAATAACTGGCTCCACCGCTCTCCTGTGCACCACTGACGAGATTCCATAGTGAAGGAAAAAGCCGTAACTCTGATTCCAATGGCATTACAATATTTGAGAGCTCATTATTTTATCCCAGCTTTAAGTATGTGTATCTGACCTTATAACACCTATCTAACTTACAAAAGGCCTTGCAGCAAATGTCTACTAAAATAAACCTTTGCGTAGTCAGCATCAGATAGCAACAACAGCAATTGCAAAAGAAAAGAGCAATCAGTAAGTGTTTTTAAATCATATTAATGGAAAATAATAAATAAGCAATCATTCTGCACAATGCAAACAATGCTGTTAATCACAACTAATCACTACAGAGCACACAAATACACAAAGCACAAAAAAGTAATGATTTTTGTTTTAAATTCAAAGAGCATGAAGCTTTCAAACAAAGCAAAAAGCCACTAATTTGAAGGGGAAAAAAAAGAAAAAGAAAAAAGAAAAACAAGATATTGCAGGCACCCTACCTTTCTTTTTGCCTGTGAAATACCCTAAAAGTCAGGGAAAAGATACTATTCAACAAGTGTCTTTTATTCAAGAATATTTGAATTTGCAATAAATAATTCTTTTCTTAGACCAGATCCATTCTTTCATTTTAAGTAGTAAAGGCACCGATAATAAGCATTTTCCAACAGAAATTACTTGCTTCCTGATTTGTTTTTCCTGATTGACTAAGATCTGGTACATTAAGAAGCGATACGGAATATTCCCAAGATTATGACATTTCGTTTCATACCCTTTCAGTTTTAAATTACTATCGTTGCATATAATAAGTTCTGCTAAGCAGAGCATCAAAGTTATTTTATTTCTAAAACTGAAATGAAGCCAGGAAATGGAGTCACACTGATTACAGCAATATTCTTAGCTGAATTACAGACCACAGAATACTTGAGGAAGTAACAAATGATATTTTAAATTCTTAAGAAACTACAAAATAAGTAAAGAGACAAATAAAGGAATTCAGAATAAAAAGCACTGTGTAATATGTAATCTCATAGCAACGAGACTTGTAGAAGACTAAAATACTTAACGGTTCCTAGTGGTGACATTTTGAAATTACTTTCATTCCAAAAGTCTTCAAAAGCAGCCATCATTCATAACAAGTGACTTCTTATAAAGATTCTCCACAATTTTATTCTGTTATATTCAATTAAAATGAGAGAGTCATGGTAAAAGACTCATTAAACTCAGGCAACCAGACAAGAACCTTTACCTGAGAAAGATATCGCCTATAATCTTGCCGAAGTTCCTCTTTTAGCTTATGTTTTTTTCGTTCATATTCTTCTCCAAGAGGTAAACTCAAGCCATAGTCACCTGAAAGTTTAACTCTTAAATATTATTATCATACTATTTGGTATCAATACAAAGCACATAACGCAAAAGATACATCTGGATTTTTGTTAGACATGAGCAATAAAAAAAATACGCAACCAGAAATTATAAAACAACTGAAATAAAAAAACATCTCTGTATGACTACTTAGGTGGAAAGCATTCTATGCTTTCTAGAAGAATGGATAGGTTTTTTGGATGCTAGTTTTCTCTCTAATCCTTGCATTTTTTTTCTCCCCACTAAAAAAAACAAGCAACATAATTTGAATAGGGTAACTATCTGCAATATTCAGGTTATTTTACATAGTTTCTTTTAGTGACATATGTTTCAAAGGAATCTCTTTTATTTGATATGTTACTTCTTAAAATACTCTGATATTTTAAGCACTGCTTACCACACAAGATACAACAAACTTAGCAACCAGAAAGCAACAAGCTGCTCCTTCATCACAAAACACATGAAATCTGTGTGGCTTCTTTATTCACTTCTTCCCACTTCAGCGTTTTTATTGTAACAGGCCCAAAACACACATTTAGCACATTTCCAAGGTTACTGTCTGGTCTTGTAAAAGCTGTACTCCTACAATATAATGTTGGGGAAGTTGTTTGGTGTTCCCAAAATACATTTTGAACTACTTTATAAGAAACATCCTCTGCTTGAGAAGGCCACTTCTGCTGAAATTTTCACCACTCCCCACAGACACCTAGCGAATTCCAGAAAACCACACAAGAAAAAGGTTGCAACTGTTTTTTTAATTGCCTGACATTTCACTGAAAGCATTTCTATTTCTTGTGGACTTTGTAAAAACAAATAGCAGGGAGTGAGAGGGAAAAGAGGAATTTTCAAGGTTAGTGGTAACCTCAAAGAACCCAGTAAAACACAGTACAAAAAAAAAAAAAAAGAGAAGCAGGTGCTTTGATTTAAATACTTGAAGTATTCAAACAAAAATAGTTTAAAGCTCATTTTATTACAGCAGACCTTTTTGGTTGGCCATCAGGAAAGCACTGAGAAGACAATTATAAGACAATTATCTCACCTATTTATGAGATAGCTGAGAAATACCTACTTCAAAAAGTTAAGGGAGATAGGCTAGCAGGGCAAAAATACTCCGTTTCACAAACATTCATCCTAAACTTGTGTGCATTTCTATCTGAATTCTTCTGTTAGGAGATATTTTACTTTTCAATAGTTTTCTGCTTTTGTTTACTCTATTTACTGTATTTACTGTATTTATTTCATATTCCATTAACTGTACACACTCATACTGAACTTTTTTTTTTTTTTTGGAAAACGTTAAGATTTCAAATGCATTTTCACATAAAAGTTTGCACACATTTAATATGTTGAGAAATAACTGTGCTGAACAACCCCACTCAATTCTGCCAGCTTCTCATATCTACCGTTAGATCTATAGCAGTAACTCAGAACAAGCTCCTATCTAACTTAACCCAAAGGAAATTACATTGCTTTAATCCAGAACCAGCCAATAGCACTAATAACAATCCACTAATAACCCAGCGTGGTCAGCATCCAAATGATTATTATAGCAATACCTACTTGCTGCTTTTCATTTAAGATCACTTGAACGTCCCTCACCTGTAATATTTCATTGTGCATTAACATATTTAGATATCAACATAAAAAAAAACAATGTATAATACTAAACACATCATGGTGTGTGTTATGATGGACCTCCAACAAGAGAAAAAATTATTTTAATATTAAACTAGCCTGGTATGCAGTGGCCTGTCACAGCCATTGGGATACAAAAGAAGAGCACTGCCTGCTGTGTTCTGTCTTCCACATTGTGTATTCCCACAGTTAAGCAAAGAAATATCACCACCTGGACTAACCTGCTGATCAAAATAAAACTGTCCAAAATGTAAGGCAGACACTATTAGAGTGTTTTGTCCTCTAACCAAGTCTAACAATTATGAATTCTGGCAGCAAATAATATTCATTTATCATGTCAGGTCATTTTTAGTGAATTTTTCCTGTAAAGGTTTTAGAAGAGCTTGTCTTGCTGATGGTTGGAAGTTCCAATTATACATCTTCATAAAAGAGATGGCTTTATTTAAGACCAGTTCAAACCCTCAGATTCACACATTCAGCTCCCTTTTTAAATTAAGGCATGCACACTTCTGGTGACAAATTCTGTTAAAATTATAGAAAGGACATAACATTAAATGTAGTAGGAGTACTTATTTAAAAGGTAGATTAGATTGGTGTTATGTTAATAATATCAAATATCCATTGACACATGTTCTTTAAAATAAAATAAAATATTTTACTGGATGCTGCAGAATTACACCAGAAATACAGTATGGAAATTAATGGTACAAAGCCAAAGAGTCTACATAGGAAAGAAAAGAGTTACCACGCAACAAGGAGGAGGATACACAACAGCTGTCAGAACAAATCTGAGCTACAACTGTAACAAAGGAAAAGTAGCAGTGCCTAAAGAAAGCAGATGGTTTGACAAGTAAGCAAGGCTGTCGCAATACAGAATAAAATAGAGAAATGAACACCATCACACATTTTCAAACAGAAGTCACAAAGGACACAGGGAAAAGAAAGAAAATGAGACAATATGTATTCTTAAAGAAAATGGCGATTAAACTGTCTAGTCACAGCACAACCACAAAACAAATCTAACCATTTCACTAGTTCAGACTTCAGCCAAAACTCAGTGCTTATTCTTTCCTTGGATAATGTGTAACTACATTACAACTTTTTCTTATTATTATTATAAAAGCAACAAAACCAGTTTAGTACTCTAAGCCTAGAAGTTTAAAAGACATTTAGCATTTAAAAGAAAAATTAATTTAACTGTGTTTGCTTTAGCCAAGTTGGAGTGGGCCTCTTAAGCTTCGAGGCTGAAAGAAAAGCTATCCTTGGCTTCCCTGGCACAAGGCACAGAGAAAGAAAGAACCCTTTGGCAGCAAGCTGATGGTCTGTATGAAAGATGGACTTCCACAGCTTTTCCTCCAAGTACCCAAAACATAACAGGATATAAACAGATTATCTACTGTAGACTGAGCCAATGTTTGGTCTTGTTTTTTAAACAGAGCTACCTTTACAAGAAGGTGGGAAAAAAAAAGGTATTTGGCATATTTTCCTTATTCAAATCTCAGAAAAACTAATTAAATACAAAAACAAAAAGCCACACAATCCCAAGACATTTGGAAGAATAAAGAATTCATAAGCACTTCAACTATAATGAACTTCTTATAATTAAAAAGCAGTAATTCCCTTCCAAAAATTCTCAAAGGTAGTCAAATGCTATTTAAACCCTGAAGACAGACAAAAATTATATACTATACCTAAAGGACAGTTCTGTTGACTATTTGGAGGTATATTTTCTTTAGACATGGAGATTAACATTTTGCTAGTCTCAGAAAGCTTCTCAGATTCCTTATTCTGGAAAAAAAAAAGTTTGCATCATCACAAAGTGAAAGAAACAACACCTAAAAACAACATTATTAACATAATTATTAGCACTTGAGAATAGAAAGATTGAAAACAATGTTGGATAGCAACATACAGAACAGCTTATAAATTTCACCGATACTATCAAAAAAGTAGTTTTTCCTCTATATTACGGGGTAAGTGATAACTTCAGTAAGTTTCATATCATAAACTGCTCTAAAATATACTTCCACAATGTTTTCACAGCTTACACATACTGTCTCTGTTTCCTGTGCAGGAAGAACTGACGTATTGCATTCTGCCTGAAAACAAAAAAGAATTGCAAGGTATTACAGGGCAAGATGAAAGTATCTGCTCCCTGTAACTACGTTTCCATCACATAGCTTAGGACTTTATCAAACTATAGGCTGGAAACATTCTTTCTCCTTAAACTCGCTCTGAGCAGAGGACGCAAAAATAAAGTCCAACAGGCCCTAAAAATTAACTTTTTTGAGAAAAGTATTATAATTAGGTAAAAATACTTATATTACCCACACACAGGGAAATAAATTTCCATAACCTTCTTATGAAACAAATCCAGGAATTGAATATGATAATTGCTGTTAAAAGTTCACACTTTGGGGCTGAGTCAAACAGGAGGCAAAAGAGACAAGTCCCCAAAAGCATATTTATTTATTTATTTTAAACAGAGGACTTAATTCCAGCTAGCTAAGAGATGCTGTAGCTAAATAATTCAGATGCAATGTTTTACCAAGTACTGGCACTATTACACAACAGCGATCTGCAAATTACAACGCCTTTATAGCTTTAGAATCAGGCACTAAACTTTCTGTTAGGAAAATCATGCTAAGGACAGATTTTGTTGAACTGATTGTATTAAATAATTTAACTTTTATAATTTCCTAGTTAACTTATCAGAAATGTTGAGACTATTTTCACCTGCCATCCCACCACCCATTCTTGGGAGTGGGCAGAAAGCAGTTCCCTGCTCATCAACTCCACTGCAGGGGAAAGGAAGAACAATAAGCATTTACAAGAGTTTTCCCACTTGTTTAAAAAAAAAAAAAAAAGTTATTGTGTATGCCTGGTGACACACACGTTTTAAAAAATCTACATAAATGCAGATACAGAGCATTTATATTAGAATTGTCTTTGCCTAGATAGATCTTGAGTATATACTTTAACAACAAATACAATTTTAAGAGCATAGTAAAAGCAAACTTAAATCAAGACCTTCAAAACGTGTTTGAATTAAGTGAAGCTATTTAATCTTCTTACCCTTATTTCCATATACGGTGGATCATTTTCAAGTTCTGCCTTATCTTGTGCCAACTTGGCCTTCTGATCTTCAATGAATTTTTCTAAGTCTTCTGCCATCATTTCTAAGGTAATAGAAATGACAAAGAACGAGGCATGTGTCAGAACAACAGAAACTTAAAGCTCCATTGCAGTTGCTTAAGACAGTAGTTAAGTTATGCTCATGTATTGCCCTCAGAACTGCATGCCTTAAGATCTTTGCTGGGTTAAATAAACAACAGACTTACGAAACCCATCTATGGAGGATATTACTTGATGTTTCACCAGGAAAAAAAAAAAAAATAAATAAAATAAAAAGTAAAATCAGGAATCATGATGTCTGAAGATATTTCTCTAATCTTTTGGAGCTGACAGTGTATTGTTACCTTCTGCATCAATAAAACAGCAAAGGTTATAAGAACAGCTACTATTCTACACTAATTGTAATATGGATATCATCAGCATTGCCTTGCAATGAGACAAGCCACTCATCTGTAATAAAACATGTACTAGGGGAACAGCTGATTACCTCTCTTCCATTACTTGTGCATCTTGCCTATGCAACTGAAAGCTCTTCAGAGCTGAAATTTTAGCACTGCATTACTGTACACTGCTGTATCTAGATAACCCGATAATAAAAATCAATGCAACTAGAAATAATGAAAATGAAATGGCACAGAAGTTAGGGCATGCACAAAGACTTCAAATATCCTTTGTTTAGACAGCCTTATCAGAACAAGAAGTACTGTAAAACTGCTTGCTAAGTAACCATGGGAAAGAAAGAAAAAAGAAGATTCACTGCACAGAAGCCCACTCATCCTAATCTCCACTCAGCTTTTTCACCAACTCCACTGGAGAAGTCATGTGAAACTAATCCTATGGATATAAAAAAATCTGTTGTATTTTACATTTAGAGGAAGAGTGAGGCTGAGAAGAAAATTAAGACCCTTACATCCCTCTAATGCTAACCACACAACTCCAGCATTGGCTTAGGAAGGTCTTAGGAAGCAATCCCATCACATCCAGTATCTAAGTACAGACTGCAGAGCAGTTTTATTAAGGCTAATTCAGTATCTCCTAAAGCTTATAGATTATATGAAATAAACTATAAGCCAATGATAAGAACATATTAGGAGACACTTTCAGGAAGAAAGTCAAGGAAATGAAAAAACGCAGACAGAAAGCCCAGCAGAATAAGACACTAAATAGAAAAACATAGAATAATGTGTTCAGGGAGAATAATATAAATGTTTTCTATGAAAAATGAGATGAAGAGAAAATGTCAAAACCTCTGCAGACAAATGAAGCTAATATGCAATTACTTGAATTTAAGGAATACATCTGGTTTAAACTTTGTGTCTTACATTAGTGCTCTTTTTGATTCATAATATGAAATTTAACATTGTTACAAAGGAGGCAGAACTAGGACAGCCTATTTACAACTCCTAGTGGTAATACAGGACAAGCAAATCCAAAAATAAATTTCCCCCATCTGATTTGTCCTAAATCTTTAATCTCGTTAGTTTTGAATAGTGATAACAGATAAAAGAAATCGAGAAGAGAATAAGTTTCCAGGCACTGATGACTTTTATTTAGCCTATTAAGTTACATAAGAGTAATTAAAAACCTGTTATGAATGGAAAAAAACAGCTTGTCATATTAAACAACTTACAAGTTGGAGCCATCAACAGGAAAATAAATTACTGTGTGGAGGAGGCACTGTGAGAAAGACTTCCCAAAGGCTTAGTGACTCTAAAGTCTGAATTTTTAATCTCTATTTACACTAACATTCATAAGCTCTAGAACTGTTTCTAAGTCACTGTATTGGAATGGTACCAAACCTAATCTGAGCTATTACATAAGGAAAGGAATATTTGCAGCATAGTTTCTATCTGGCATGAGGAACACAATGAATATTGTAACATTCCACACTTTTATTCATATTGCTTATAAGGGCAATATAATGCCCTAACTGTTTTGTCCTTGTGTTTTGAAGTTGAACTACACATTCAGTTGACATGAAGAAAGCTCACACTTATGGTCCAGCACACCTGCTAAGTAACATGGAAAAGTGGCCAAATGCATCTCAGAAAATACCTAGATGTTTTATGTCTTACATCCTTCTGCTTCATTTTCCTACAATATGCACGAGCAGAAACTTTGAGATATGTGAAAAGAGTGTATTATGCTGATAGAGAATGAAAAAGAAAGAAAAAAATAAGACCTTTTCTTATATATTATCAGCAAAGCACTGACAATTTGAATGTGACACATTGCTGAGTTCAGAAAACATACATAAGCAAATATCTTACTGAATAATTATATTTTTATGACCTACTGTATCAAGCAAAGAGATCCTGATTAATAAGAGTAAAAAATTAAAAGTTATATATTTCTATCTGAAAAGAGTGCTATCACAGTCCCCAGTTACACAATGAACTACATTGGAGGCTACTGTGCTAAATTCACAGTGAACTATTAATTTCAAACTGGCCTCATATGACTGCAGAAACTGAGTGAGGTAGAGCCTGCCAACTTAAAACCAATTCACCTCTAAATAAAATAGTCTATTTTCAGTCTAGCAAGGTGTCTGAATGGACTGTGTGAATTTCTAGACCCCTGCAACTATTACCAGCAAAAGTAGCAGGCTCAAAACTAAGTTTGAAGGCATTGCTTGTAGGGCACGTGTGGAGAGCAGAAGGGAAAGTGAGACCACGTGAAAACCTAACAATAAACTGCAAGTCCCCAAAATTACTAGGTGCAATACAACAGATTTTTCATGTTTTTTTGGAAAACAGCATTTTGTAAATACTATTCAAAGTATAGATTTTTGACAGCAAAAATCTGTCAGTTTAAAACTTGTGTTTTCACTTGCAAAACACTGTATGATTCAAATGAAAATTACATTAAATATACTATTTATTCAACTAGTGTTGGAAAAAGCCCCCAAGAAAACATATATTTTATATATTTTAACTTTCAAGAAGATATAACTTCATTTTTTCATAGCCTACTTCTTTTAAATTGTATTGTTTCATAAAAGCAATTCCAAATAACTACAAAGCCAGCTACATAGACTTCAACTTGGTCAAATACACCAGGCAGTGGAAAGCACACAGACATTCAAGAGAAGTCAAGTTTGAACAGAGATGGATATTGGATCTACACCCAAACACAGTTAATAATGTATGTCTGCATTCAGGACATTCAAACCGCCTATTAGCATATGTATTATTTTGTGTGTGTTGTACCTGTTTGCATACTGTGCATCTATTTTATCACCTAAAGAAACATTCACCTTTTTACTCTTTCTTTCTCTTGTGTTTGTTCAAGAAAGCAAGGGCAGAAGACTTGAAATCAGCCCATGTCATTGGGCAGATCCCTGTCTACTTTGTGCATCAGGAAAGCCAGACAAGTGGCAATTCCCTTCCATATAAACTGCAGCAAGGGCAGCAGGGGAGTGAAGTGTTTTAAAGAAGCTGCTATATGTCCGTGTGTAGTAATTCTACTTACAGGTTACGTGGCCTCATAATTGCTTCACTCAGAAATATTTTTTAAAGCTTTCCCTGAGCCTCCTGCACCCTGAGGCCAGGCAGCACTGGCTGCTTCTCTCTCCTCCCTTTGAGCAGCATGCAGAAGAACCTCTCGCTGTCAGAAGAGTGGGCTTTGCATCTCTCACCTTCCTTTCTTTTTGATTCTTATCTGAAAAAGCACAAAACACCCACGGTCTGGATGCTCACGAATAAACTCCAATTAAAAACGAGGTGTTTCGCAACTACGAAGGGCATTAATGACCAACGCACCACGCCGGCGAGCCTCACCAGTTTACCTCCTCTCACCCTACGAGTTTACCTCCTCCAGAACCCGCCTGTTGGGCCGGCAAGAAGGCGATTTGGGGAAACCTTCAGGGGAAGGAAGAGCTTCACTTCTCCCCCCGCGGCAGCTCGGCGCAACGCCTCTCCCCCCTCCCTCGGCCTGCTGCTGCCACCCCAACCAAACCAAAACAAAACAAATCCAACCCAAATAAAACAAAATAAAACAAAACAAAATAAAACAAAGCAAAGCAAACCGGACCCTGCCCGGGGCACGCTGAGGCGCTGTGAGGCGCTCCCCCCCGGCGCGGCGCCCCGTTGTCAGGCAACGGCCGCGCAGGCAGCGGCTCCCCCCGGGAAGCCGCCCGGGGCTCGCTGCCCCCCACCGGGGCCGCCCGAGCCCTCCTCGGCTCCCCGGCCCCACAAAACCACCCCCGGGGGGGTGCCCGGTGCCCGTTCCCCCTTCCCCACCGCCCCGCTCACCGGCGGCAGCCCTCAGCTCCCGTCGCCGCCTCCCCGGAAAGCGGCGGCCGGGGGCCGGCAGCGCCCTCTGCGGCTCCGGCGGGCCCCGCAGCGGGGAAAGAAGGGGACGGGGAAGCGGCCGCCGCCCGCTGGGGGCGCAGGGCTCCGCCGCTCCTTCTCCGCCTTCCCCCAGCGCCTCCTGCTTCCGCCGGTGGCCGAGAGGAGGCCGAGCCGAGCCGGGCCGGGAGCCAGGGGAGGGGAGGGGGGGAGATGGCGGCGGCGGCCGGGGCGGGGAGCGGCGGCTCCGGGAGCGGGATGGCGCAGAAGACGTGGGAGCTGGCCAACAACATGCAGGAGGCGCAGAGCATCGACGAGATCTACAAGTACGACCGCAAGCAGCAGCAGGAGATCCTGGCGGCCAAGCCCTGGACCAAGGAGTGAGAGCGGGGCCGTGGGGAGGGAGCGGGGGGCTGGGTTGGGGCTGTGTCTGAGCGCCCCTCTCTTCCAGCCACCATTACTTCAAGTACTGCAAGATCTCGGCGCTGGCCCTCCTCAAGATGGTGATGCACGCCAGGTCCGGGGGCAACCTGGAGGTGATGGGGCTCATGCTGGGCAAGGTGGACGGCGAGACCATGATCATCATGGACAGCTTCGCCCTGCCGGTGGAGGGCACCGAGACCCGCGTCAACGCCCAGGCGGCCGCCTACGAGTACATGGCGGCCTACATCGAGAACGCCAAGCAGGTAAAAGACGCTCCTCACCGCCTGCATGGGTGCCATGGGAGCCCCTGCCTGCTCCCCGTGCTGCTCCGGTGGCCTATTCGCCTTGTGTCTGCCCTAAGGTGGCCGGGGAGCTGTGGCAGGGCCCCCTGAACACGCTGGTTTCCGTCAGCAGGTGCTTGTCTGCCTGCCCTCCTCACGGTTTTGGTTGCCCCTTCCTCAGGACCTGGGTTACTCCTTCCTCACAACCTGGGTTACTCCTTCCTCAGGACCTGGGTTACGTCTTCCTCACAACTCATCTTGCTCAGAAGGTGTTTCTGTGGCTGGTGGCCTGTCAACGGAACAAGAAGGGAGCGTGTTTCTAAACTCTCACGCATGTCTTCTCTAAAAGCAGTTTGCGGAATTAAATATAGCCTAGTAATTTTCTCGCAAAAAGTATTTTATTATTTATAGATCAGTAAGATGATATTTATTCACACCTTCTTGCTTTCTGAAGTCTCACTGCCTAGCAGCTCTGCTGTTTTCTATAATTATAAACAAAACACAATTCTAGAGGAAAAAGCCACTGAAAGGATAAATAACTTCCAGTGCGACCTAATTATCCAGATTTATAGTTCAGAAATGTAGATAATTAACTCAAAGTCTGTCCCCATTTCCTCACCTTGTACTCCTGGGCATGTCAGGTTAAGCCTGAGCATGCCATAAAAAATCTCACGTGCAGATACTGGTATGCTTCTCCACTACAGGGCAATCTTACACCATGAATAAGCATTGAAATCCCTCTTAACTGTCCAAGCTCAAATAGTTTGAGGCCTAGTTTATCCTTTGATTTCCTTTAATCGCAGAAGTGTTATAAACCATCTAAAATTAGAGGACTCTTACCAAGTCACTGGAGATAACGAAGCAAGTACTTGGGTTATTTTGGAGAATTGTACTTATATTCACAGCTTTATATCTAGTTAAATATATTTAAATAAATGTGAATTAGGCTGGATCATAATGTCAGAAAAAAGTAAACAATACAAAGGAAAGTATATTTTAGGGCTTTTTTGAGGGGAGGGAAGTTTTCATCCCTGTTTATGAGAAAATTTCAAAATAATTTATTTAATCTGGTTTATCTGGAAACTTAACATCATGATTTTAATATTGTTGTTGCAGAAAAGTATGGAATGTGAAAAGGTGTTTTTATCTAAAGATGTATTTGTAGTATCCAGTTCTTAGGTAGAAATAATGGGTTTCAATTTAATAACTATATATCATAATATGAGTATTTCTATTTGCAATTACTTCATTAGATTTTGAAAACAGTGCATGCTTATGTGGGAGCGCTCATATGATAAGATTTTTTTTCCGGTTGTTTATGTTGTGCAGTTTCACGTATAGTTTCACTATTTTGAAATTGAACTTGTGTGCAAATACAGTAATTCAGCTTTACTGGTGCTCTGACAGAGTTTGCATGCTGACTGTTCACATTTGATTTTGGCAAGCAGTTGTGCCTGGAATAACTCTTTTTCACTAGCTTGCAAGTTGATAATATCCCCCTGCATAAGTACTTTACAGAAGCCAACGTTCCAGTTATTTGCTTCTCTATTGGCAGGATCTGATATAGACATGGTTTTAAAAAACAGTGTTAGTTGGCTTTGAATAATAATACACGTGCATTAGTGTGCTGTTGTTCTCTTTGACTCTCTTAAATGAGAGTTGCAAGAAAATATAAATATTATTCACCACTTCAAAAACAAAATAAACGTTCAGTTCGGAAGGTAGTCTGTGTGTTCTATCTCATCCTGACATACCTAGTATTTGGCAAAATGAAGCAGCTGATATATTGAAACAGACAGCACTTGGTTAAGAACTAGCATGTAGGGTAGTCAGACTAACGTCATTCAACTCAGTATTGAACAGCCAGGAAACAAATCCTAATGAATTACAGTAAACTTAGGTGCAATGGGTGTTCATTCTCCTTGATGAACTATGGTGTGTTTTGTTGTTGTTGTGGGTTGGTTGCTTGCTTTGTGGGTTTTTTTTGGGGGGGTGAGGATAATCTAAGAGTTATCCAGCAGTATTATTTGGAAACTTCTACTGTGAGTTTTTCTGCTCCTAAAAATCTCAAGAAATCATCTTTTGGCTTTCACAGCATACTGTGGCAATGAGTTCTGTCACTTTTGGTGGTCAAAAATGTGCATCTATGTAAGTTGCTATTTTTCAAACCTGCCAATGATCTCACTACATGCCTCTGAGATGTGTTATTGCACTAAATAGTGAACATTTATTCTCTATGAACTTACTATACATTATATGAGATTATATGTACTTGAAACATATCAATCCTGAAAAATTTCCATGCTGACAAGGCTTTGTTTACTTATCTCAGCATGTGGAGTCTCTTCTGTATTTCTGCTGTCAGTGAAGTTGTTACTGGGTCCTTGGAGATTAAATTCTTTGTTTTGTGGTAGTATATAACAGCATATAGTAGCTGTAACAGCAAATACTACATAATGTATGGTTTCTGTAAAACAAATCAGCAAAATAAGCTGTGTATTTAGTATTTTAAGTTAGCATAGCAAGCTCCTGTGTGTATTCTAGTTTTTATTCTTACTGTGTTGTAATATGCTGGCAGGCCCAGCAGAGGGCAGCCGATACTTAAAGGATGGAAATTAACACTGGATTTGTTTTCCTTCACTGCTGCTAGGTTGGTCGTCTAGAAAACGCAATCGGCTGGTATCACAGTCACCCTGGCTACGGCTGCTGGCTCTCTGGGATCGATGTCAGTACTCAGATGCTTAACCAGCAGTTTCAAGAACCCTTTGTAGCAGTGGTTGTAAGTACTGCCTGATAGTTGATAAAACTGCATAGCAAGTTATGCTTAGAGGGGAATAACTTTAGGGGTTTTGTCTATGAACAGTCTAGTAGTGTGTGGTTTGCATGATGGAAGTGTTAGATCCAACACTTAAATCAGTTTCAACACTTTTGCTTTGTTGGCCACGTGCTAGTCAAACCAGTAGTCTTGTTCTTTGAGGCTGTTTTCACTACGTTGTTCCACATGTTGTAGTTCTGCAAAAATCTATATGCTACTCTTAATGTGAGGATGGTACTTCTGCAAAAATTCGTTGAGCAATCCATATTCAAGCTCCTACAATAAAACAAAAATCTGTTTTTGTTCTCTTAGTTGCCTTTTCTGTAGGAGTAGAGGAAAGCATGTTCACAGAGTCCTGTTACTTTGAAGCTAAAATGCTTTTTAGATGAAATGAATGGCATAGTACAGGGTAGAAGATTCTAGGAAGTCTTTGAAGAAAAAATCTGAAGAAATCATTCAGGCTCTTCAGTTCTTCCAGGCATCAGATTCCATTTTAAATCAAAGTAAACCTTACTTTAAGTATGACTTGGACTACTGTCGCTACTGAAGGAAATAAAGGAAATAAATAAATAAAGGAAAAAAAGACTGAAGTTAGTGAGAAAGAAAGGATATAATTCTGATGGTAGAATTACATTAGACAAGGATACAAGGATAGATCACCCCTAAAAAGTATTTCCACCATGTTTCCCTATTTTATGACATCATTTCACAGATACAGAACATTTCCCTTGGGACCTATTTTTTTTTATTACTTCTAAGTTGAAGTAATTATTAGTAATTAGTAATTATGTATTTATAAATATGTTATCAAGGAGGCTCCATTATTAGTCTTTTTTCTCTTCCACCAAAATACAGTAGGTTGCATAATGCTCTTTCTTAGCTCTAATGGTTATGAGATTAAAATGTGGATTTCTGTTACAGTTTGTTGCTTGCTCTAAGTGTCATTTCTTTAAAGTGTTTGGGAAAGAGGAAATGAGTTTGAAAAAATGGTCCATAGCCATTGATACTCCCTCTGTTTAGAGTCTCACATCAATGGATGCCAACTGAAAAAGTACTGTTAATGACTAAATTAAACCAATTTGCACTAATTATGCTTCTGAAATGCAATTACTATTAATTTATGCCTGTAATAATTCATAAAATGTTACATAACAAGCATTGCCTATATTTTTTACAGATTGATCCAACAAGAACAATATCTGCAGGAAAAGTAAATCTTGGCGCATTTAGGACATATCCTAAGGTAAATATTTAAAATAATCTAGTGCGTGGTCAATAAACTGTCTTTAAATAAGTAATTGATTGTTTGTAAAGATTAGTGGTTTGTTCATCTAACAGTTCAATTTACTTTGCTGTGCTATATATCATTGTTCATTCTAGAAGACACGCTGATATGCTGGTTATTGTGTGCCTTTGGATATTGATTACCATTAGAAAGGTTGACTTCTATTATGTTGTTCATAGATTTTTGGCAGCCTTAAATCAAATAGATGTCTAGATAAGAAAGTTATCCTAAAATTATATACCTTAATATACAAGTTTTTTAATGGATATAGTTCTAGGTGACATTCATTTAAGTAT